GTAGTAATTGTGTTACGATCACTTATTTATAAAAACGTTTATGTTTATGTTTTTCTAAAGACACTTCGAATTATATGAAATTACAAGCTGATTTCCCACGAATTTGCACGTATTAATTAAAGCTAATGCCACTAATTAAAGCTACAATTTATTTCAATGTTATATGATTGATATTTATAGAGAGAGAATAGAAGTATAATGATATTGATTTAGTATGGGAACCGAGTGTCGCCTCTCCGCACACAAATACAGATTAGATGAAATGATCATTTTGTTCACTACATGAAAAACTGCCACGCGATACGTTCGTGATAACATAAACAGAATCCCAAAAAGATACTAAGCTAAGAAATCACACGATTAAAAACAAACTCTAATTCAACGTGATAATAAATAATTTACTTTAACATGAATGTTGAACTGTCACGTGGCTGTATACGGGGATACCAGAAGGGAAAAAATATTTTAAGATTATGCACATTTTAAAAAATTGGGGACATCATTTTATGTGCGAACTATTAAGATTAGATTTTGCTGTAACCAAGTGAATATTAAAAAATAACGCTTTTCCCTATATAACTTCTTTTAAAAAACGCAGTACAAAAACTAAGAAAACTTAATGATAAACTCTATCATATGTCTGTGGAGTAATATAATTAAGCGAGGGAAAGTGTAAAAAAAAACAAAAATTAAGAAACCAACAGAATTTTTGTATTAATTACATTAAGCCTAATTTGTAATTTTTTCTTACTGGTATCATTCCGATTGTGCATATTAGTGATGTGACATAATAGTAGTTGATGAAATAAGAGGTTTAAATTTTGTTATGAAACAGTAAAATGTAATTCAGTTCGACAATGTTCTACAGTGGTTTGATAGTAATTATTTAAAGCTTAATTCAAATAAAATGAAATACATAAAGTTTGCATTACCTAATGTGAGGCATATTAATACACTTATAAATGTAAATAGTGAAAAAGTTGAGTTGGTGAAATCGACAAAGTTCCTTGGTATTACACTAGATTCCCGACTGCAATGGGATCCTCATATTAATAATTTGTCAAGTAGACTGAGTTCTGCAGCATTTGCTGTTAAGCAAATTAGACTCTTGACAAATGTTGAAACGGCAGGATTGGTATATTTTAGTTATTTTCATAGTGTAATGACGTATAATCTATTGTTGTGGGGTTCTGCGGCTAGCATTCAAGATATTTTTATTCTACAAAAGAGAGCTGTCCATGCTATATATAATTTACGGTCTAGAGAATCTCTCAGAGAAATATTTAAAGAAATAAATATTTTGACTGTTGCCTCTCAATACATCAATGAAAATATTATCTACGCAAGAAAACATTACGATTCCTTCACAAAAAAAAGTAGTGTTCATAATCATAACACAAGAAATAAAAATAAACTTGCCGTTCCAAGCTTCAGACTTCAGAAAACCAGAGGATCAATGCATTTACATTGCTATGTTCAATAAAGTTCCACAAAATGTAGTTGACCTACCCATAAATAAATTTAAAATTCATGTAATGAACATACTTATGAGTAAAGGCTATTATAAAGTTGATGATTATTTTAAGAATCGCAATGCATGGAATGAATAGCCATCGCTTTGTTCTATAAAGACTAATTATATGTTCAACCTATGTCCTACAGACTTTGAAAGTTGTATTTATTATTGTGATAAGATATGAAATGACATGATTTATGTAAATATCTTAGGGCTGGTAAGTTTCTTTCGCTTGTTCTTCTTGTCAGCTAAAAGACGTCCTGAACAAGTGGTAGGGGAAAAAAATTTTTTGGACGATTCAAAAGTGCTTGTAATAGCCTACTTGAATAAAGATATTTTCATTTCATTTCATAATAACTAATATGATCATTACAATAATAAATTGATCATAGCCATGTTTGTTTTACTTTATTATTCTAAGTTTATTATTCTAACTGTAATAATAATAGTACCTACATTTTTAATTGCAACGACTGGACAATAAGGAATCGCTGGTCAAGTATGAGTTTGAAAGCCGTGACAAAAAAGTTTGAAGACAGACACAAAAGCGATAAGTACATACAAACGTCAATCTACATATAAAGTCACATCCGTTTGAGACATGCGTTTATAAACTTATGTGCAAATATGAAGCAACAAAAAAGCTGATAAAAGCTGTTCTGTGGGCGGTTCTTTAAAGTGGCTATCTTAACTCGATTTCTATAATAATGGTTTCCGATTATGAATCAGCATAATAAAGTAAATTAAATTGACGCCTATAAATTAATTTTGTAAATTAAATTCACACCACCAACAATATTACGTTAGTTGAAAACATGATTTTTTGTTTGTATAGATAATATGTTGTTTTGAAATTCATTTGATAGGTTTAGGTCTAAAACGGATAGGACAAAATAAATTATGTAAACAGGGCAATCCGTTGTAAAGTTATTAGGGAAACTGAAATATAAGTAATGCAAAATAAGTGAAATCCAGTTTCACCAGTTTCTAATAAGACCTATTAGGCCAACACTCGTAGCTTTTCACGAAGTTTCGTTTGATTTATATATTGTTCATAAAACGTTGATATACTTCGTAATTTAGATATTTATAGCACATCAGTATTTTTTAATATTTATCTGCGTGTAAATAATTAACCAAATCTTCGTAAAAAAGTGCCTGAATAGTTCATTATTTCATCTGTTTGGTATCAATTCATCATTTATTTTCAGGAGGCACAGCACTATTTTTTGCAAAAGTGCACAATATGATTTACATTGCTGTCTAGAAACGGGGTTAGAAACAAACATGTTGGTTTGAGCAAACAATGTATATTTTATTTGAAATTGTGTCAAATTATTACGTTTTTTATATTTTAGCACTAAAATTGTACTTACCAGTGAAAGGAAATGTTTGCATTAGTTAGATTGTATACTTTGTTTTGCTTTTTGCAAGTGATAATAGCACAAAACGGTATTTTTTATAGAAAAAATCAGTAAAATCACCACTCGACGATTGACGAACGACTGACAAATATAAAACCGAGGAAAGTGCGACATATGAGTAAAAGCGCATATGCCAGCGACGCTTGCCCCGCCCACTTACTACTTCTATTCTCTCTCTATTAAGTAAAACATTAAAAATAAGTAATGAAGAAAAATAAAAGATTTATTCATAATAATATATAATCAATGATCACATCTAATCATCATCTAATGACATATAACAATAGACTTTTTGGAAATAATATAAAATTATCTAAGTCGCCGATTGCTGACATATAGATTAACGCTAAAAATATAAATTTGAACAAAATATTTGACTACAACATTTTACAAATTTAAATTTAAAAATCTTACGATTCCTAATAGTCTTATAAAACGAAATTATTTAATATCTATTACATGTAAAAAAAAAGTCATTTAAGACAGCTTCATTGACAATGTCGACAAATAAAAATCAGTTAATAGCGTAATACCACTAAAATACACCATACAGAATTTAAATATATTTATAGATATACCAACCAACATCGCTTGAACTAATTAAAAAATTAACGTATTGTATTTAAATTTTATCAACGATCGATTGACATTTATTGGTAGAAAACTTTTACTGAATAAATTATTATAATTGATTAAAATGTTTGGCAAAATAATAATGAGAATAACCTTTATTCTCTTATTTCTTGTTCCAATACCTATTGCTTGGAAACTTAATACAAATTGGGTAAAACAAAATGTGTCTTCTAATGAAGGTGTTTTTGTGTTCGACCTATAAAACTACTTAAACAGTAGCGTTTATTGTGATATTTATGAGGTACAAATACAATTCTCTACACTCATCTTTAGCAAATGTCGCAAGACTTGTTTTATAATACAATACATATATGGATAGAGCTTGTTTTACAGAAAAAGAAATACCATTAACTACTCAACAACTTGGCCGTGTTTTACATTTATTTATATCTAGTATAACACTAAGTAAATTATCTTTATATTTTTCATTATTTACTAATTTAGAATTTCCATAATGGATATTTCATTACACAAAAAAAAATATATATTTATACGTCTTATAAAGTTCTTAAGCGACTTCCCATAATGATATCACTTAATCATTTCTTAGCACTTGATCGAATTTGTTTATTGTCAGATTCTTCATTCTCGTTTCCCTAAAAGATGCCAAGAAAAAATTACAAAAATTACAGAACTGGTGCAAACAAGCAATCGAAAATTATATCATCCGATTTAATGATAATTTGGAAGATCGTTTTTATAATAATTTGTTGGTATTGATACCCTCTTTTTTTTCTACGCTACTACCTTAGATTGTACTGTTTGGTATTACAGTTTTACTAAAAAAACTGAAGTCTTTTGTTTAAAAAAACGGTAAAACTGATTATTTTACCGTGTAATTAAATATAATCTCGTGTGAATAAATAAACCTACTCACTGATGTATCTGACGAAAAATTGTATGATTAAAAAATTGAAAAATTGATTTGTAAATATATCCAGAAAATTGATATTTTCTACTACTTTCTTTAGCCCGATTAATATGAAAAACATGCATATTTTTATCAAAAATTACTTAAAATGTAACTAAATTTCAGTAAGTTCGTGTTTCTCGTGAAAGACAACTTCATTCTTCTAATACACTTTCACTATATACTTTTCCTTTCTGGCTTTATATGCGACTCCTTTACCATTCCAACTTTACGATTGAGGAATGGCTTCCCAGACTCCATCAGCGAACTCAAACCAAATATATATTTAAAAAAGAAGCTCACACTTTTCTTATGCAGCGATTATAAGGACTCTATCATACAATGTATATTACGTTTATGTATTATACATAAACGTAATGTATATATATAATGAAGGTGTATTAACTTGCTTGTAATTTAGTTTTAAGCCTTAAGGTTTCCCAAAGGTTGACTGGTAAAGAATGCTATTATTATAAGTAGAACTCCGCCTATTTATACCGTTCATTCACTGGACAATAACGTTTGATAAATAAATAAATTACCTACATCTGTTGTTGATAATATAATGTTACTGGCAGGACATGAATGAACATTAAACATTAGATTACAAACGAGTTTAGCCAAATGCTAATAAAATTATTTAACAAAATTAGAAACTATTCATTTGCATTTCCATTACCGTCAATTGTGAGTCATTCATTATTTTCACTCATTTCCACTCAATACTTATGGGACTCTGAATTATGTCTCAATATACTCATATGAGCAGGATTAATTCTAAACATATCGTTAAATAATTGATCGTCATCAACTGTCAGTTCTGGCATTCGGTCGAAACTCGTGCCCCTCCACAAGTCGTGCCCACTTAAGGGTAATCTCATTTCGCTGCTGTATGTGGAAGTTTGAGGAGAATGTCCACTTTGTCGTTCAGATTCTTCTTGTTTAAGCCTCTCCATGGTTTCTTTTTCGATCCTTTCCAAACGATCCATTACCTCCGCCGGATCCGCATCTCTTGGTCTCCGATTAAAATCAATGTTAATGTCAATTCTAAAACAAAAAAATATTTATTTCAAGTTTTTATTAAAAAGGACTATTTACGTTTTACTAATTTTAAAATGTTATTTTACTAAAATATTTAATTATATATTTTATTAATAAGGACTTTTACAGTTATTTTGCAAGTAAACAAATTAAAATTATTTTTTATGATTAATCCGCCATCCTTTGTCCTTCCTTATCTATCTCATTAATAGACGCATTAATTTCTACTCGTTTTCTCTTTTGTTTTGATGCTCAGCTCAATCTCAACTAACAAATAAGTATTTGCTTTATAAAATATGGTAAGCAATTATTTGTTAATCACTTAGAAAAAGCAAATAGTGAGCACACTTCTTCATAATTATCTTATTGATTTATCTGGCGAATGGACTTTACTAATAACAACTTTCGAAAATAGTAAATTAATAAAGATTATATTAATTAAGAATATATTAGTAATGAATTAATAAAATTCGACTGCGGGCAGAATAAAGGAATAAAAAACTTTTAGTAATTTCCGAGCAACTTTCTAATCATTATTTGAAATGAGAATATTTTATAATATAAAATTTTCAGTATTCGAGATTTAGTTTTTGCACTTACTTCGTACTAATTAAAACAGTGAAAATTGATTTTTGGTTAAAGGGAGTCATTAATATTATGTTGTATGAACTTTACCCAGGTGAAGGTCGAGGAGATATAGTTTTACGACTACGATAATATTTATATTTTATAGATTGACGAAGAAAAAAATAATTATAAAAACGTAATAAAACATCCGGTTATAACAATAGATATCGAACCGAAAAATTGTGACTGCGAAAGAGTTGATATCAAAAACCTCTTTTTTTTGTTGTTGTGTATAAAACGAATAAAGCCCATTGTTCTTTTAAGCCCGTTGGATAGCTTTTTTTAGGTTCATGTTAAGTGAAAAATAGGAAAACAAAATATATGGAAAAATACAGTTTATTGCACAAATAAACATGTGTTATTTTATTTATATTGTTGATACTTAGTTATTATCTAACAAAATTGTAAGTACGTAGGCGGTATGATAAATAGCTAGCCCAACCTATATTTTGTATAATAATTTACTCATTGGTTCATTAGCTGCCAGTGTTCCAAATTTCAAATCGATCGTATAGTTTTTCTTTTAAATATTGACATTTCAAAAAGCAAAGTGAAATCAGCGGGGAAAGTCATGGCGTCAGTATTTTGGTATTCGAAGAGTATATTGATGATTGATTACCTTCCAAAAAGACAAAACATAAATGGTGAATATTATGCTGATCTACTGGATAAATTACAAGTGTGTAATCGTGAAAAAAGATCCGGCCTGGCTAAAGAAAAATAATCTTTCATCAGGATAATGCGCGCGTTCACACGTGCATCACTGCGATGGCGAAATTCAAAGAATTAAATTATGATTTGCTACCACACCCAGCTTATTCTCCTGATCTGGCACCATCTGACTTTCATCTATTCCCTAAGCTCAAAAAATTTTTAGGTGGACAAAGATTTGAAAATAATAGCGAGGTGATGTCTGCCGTGGACAGTTATTTTGAAGGGCTTTAAGAAAACCACTTCAGGGATGGCATGAAGGCTTTAGAGCATAGATGGATGAAGTGTATAGCGCTTAAAGGAGATTATGTCGAAAAATAAATATACTTTTAACACACTAATTCAAGTTTTTCTTTGCAAGGCAAGCTATTTATCATCCCGCCCTCGTAGTTATGTGCCACGGTGGCACTTCATTCCGCTGCTGATAATCTAATATTCTTCAAAACAAAAGAAAAGTTCAAATATGAAAACGATGTTATCGAATTAGGAGAAAACAAAGTTCCGAATGCAAACAGAGGTTTTAACTTACAAAATATAATTAAAAAAAAGTTTATACTTTTTTTATTAAAAATTACATTTAATGCGTACAAATAAAAGCTTCTTTTAAAAAAACTTTAGTTTTCATAAAGACGGATCTAAAGAACCCAAACACTATGCAAAATTTCAAATATATCGGACATTGGGAAGTGGGTTAAATTTGAGTTCCATGATTTGCGCACTAACTAACATATTAAGGCCAGTTGCACAAAACATCATTAGTTTAAAGTGGCATTACCCATTCATATTTGACATTCATTAGAGCTTAAGGCGTAATTAAACTTTACTGGACGTTTGTGCGACTGACCGTGAACTAAATAAAAGCTTGTAAAAAGAAACCGCACTGCATATATAAATTACACAGTACAAAATGACGATAAGCGTAACCCAAGCACTGCGAGAACGCCGCGCGCCTTATTTTTATTCTTATCCAGGGAACATGCTTTACGCGCTATTCCTGCCACCTAGCGGGAGGATTTTTGTTGTCTTAGAAAATTACATCGCGCATAATGATCATAATGTCATACTTAATTTCATAGTAAAAGTTATTCATACGCATTACTTCTTTCATTGGCATAACTTTCATTAGCAACCGCCGGCAGCTCAAAATGCTAATTCTCGTTTGCAATCATTTCTTAATAAAGAATATTAATGGGCACATACCTACATACCTCATAAATTGATGTCAAGTCTAAAGGCTGTTATAAACAAAGAATTGGGAAATGTCAACTCGCGTAAAACAAACATTCGCGCTACCATTCATACTACTTGAGGAACTTTCCATTTCTATAAACAAAACTTTCCCTCATGTTGACATAAATAACGATAATTTTACTATCATGTATAACAATAATTTATTAAATAGTAATTAGGTTTATATCAGATCTAAATATAGTCTCAGTCGAATTGATACATTAAGAACTTTACCCAGTTTCTTCCCTGAATCGAGCCCAATCTTCGAGACTCGGTGCTCTGGGGATCTCTTCAGCTAGAGCCCGTGCGGCATCCTCCATCGCTTGCTGCACCAACTCCTTTTCAACATCGAGTTCTAATAAATAAAACTACAGATCAAAACATTTAAAAAGATAATTTTATAGAGCTTGTCCTACCGTATAATTAATAAACTAGACGGTTTTTCCGCGACATCGCCTGCGTTTATTACAGCCCATGCTACCGGAGTATGATGTAGCTTCCCGATTTTAACTGCTGTACCGATTAAAAAAAAAATAGGATCGGTCTGGTAATTTCAGAGCCTGTTCAATGTTTAGACTGTACATTTACAGTACTATCGGCACTGATATATCTATTACAGGAATTTAGTTTAAATAATTACGATTAAATCAATAAGGTAGAGAAATAAATAAATATAAAGGTCCTATACTACTTTGACCGGAAATCGAAATGGAGAGATGCATGGACACCTTGAAACTGGCATACGAAATCTTAACATTAATGAAAAATAAGCTCACTGGCAGTCAAACTTATAATCAATAAATACTTATCTTCTATTACCACAACTATTACTAACAATACCCATTTAAGGATACTTAAATAAGCCACCCTTATGTAACTCATTATTATGTATTAGAAATTACAAAAAGACTGAAGTAACAAAATATAAAATTACAGGCGATCCAACCACTTAAAAATATTTTGTAATGCGTACGCTCTTCATTTAACTTAAATAAGTACCTACTATGAAAGCTGGTTTTGTAATAGAAGGACAATATATTATACCACGTTACGTCAATAAACAATTTAACGGAAAGTTGAGACGGTAAACTCTCCATCGTGCCTTTAGAGCCCGTTAAGATTACTCAAGAATTATCACGTATTACGTCTCACCCACATATTGGTGTACGTACTTACGAAAATGCCTAATTATCTGGAGTCTCAAATTACGAAATTATATGAACTCACGCGTTTTATACTACACTAGCTGTTTCCCTGCGACTTCGTCCGTATGATGTAGCTTCTGTATGTGAATGGGTTTTAAATTCACATACAGAAGCTACACCATACGGTTAACTAATTTCGGAGCCAATTATCAAATTAACAATCGTTAGAAAAAAAAACAAAATATTGTTAATATAAAAGTCAATTAACAATATGCGCTCTTAAAAGGATTAAACTGAATAGTTGAATAAATCACTTTACCAGAAATCCTGCGGAGTGACGCGGATGACGTCGGACGTCGCAAAGCACGTGCCAGGTTCCCACACACGGCCCCGTGTGACGTCAACTTACTGCCACTGCAGCGCCACTCCTCATCTATATTTTTTTTTTAATTACCTACAATATCTCATGCATTCCTCAGAATTGAGTTGCTAAAGCCCTCGTATTATGAAGTGTCTGAGACAACGAAGGTAGCATAACAGCCAGACCAGAAAGAATATATATTGACTCAACTGAGAATCGAACTCGGGACAGTGATGGTGACACCATAGAAAGTTGGAAAATATAGATTCAGGTTCATTATTTACATTGCGCCTTCCTATGTTCCAAATTCCTTAGGACATTGCTTTTGCTATGTCGAAATTTTACTTAAAACAAATACTGTTTGCATTTTTCCCACGACATTATGTAGAATGAGATCGTGACTGGTGATAACTCAGAATTTATTCGAATTTACAGTATCGTTCGTTATGCATGCACTGAATTTTCGTAATTTAAAAGTTTTCGATTATCAAAAAAGTTGTTATTTTCTAAAGTACTAACACTAATCACTTTCATGACCAACAATAAATTGTGAGCTAGGCAAAAATATGACACTAAAATTCTTGCAGAAATCGACTCATACGATATCGTTTGTGTGAAACTTCTAGCAATTTGACGAGAAAAACTAATACAACACAATGCACATTATCCTTACAAAGATGTCATTTATTAGATACCCATTAATGTATTAAGTATTTGCAGTCGAGATGGTGCGTCTATGGTTGGGCGATCGTGTGCGGTACGAGGCCTCACAGGTATATTTGGCTTTGATGGTCTCGAACCCGCGCCCTCTGTGGTCGCTGGCCTTCGAGACCGCCGAACAGCAGCCAATAAAGGCTGACCAGCCCCGTCACCACCACCTTTAACTTCTTCATTTGAAGTCTAGAAAAAAAAACGATTTTCAATTTCGAACCTTCGTTGATTAGGTTAAATGTAATTAAACTATTTCCAAAGTTCACACCGATTTTGTCGACAAAAGTTATGCCCAAATCAACACCAATGAAATTCACAAGTGGATTAAACGTCAATTATTTCAAGCCCAATAAATATAATATTTCAGTAGTTGGTGTTATTTTGTTTACCTTAAGAGTTGGAAACTGCGTGGATGGTCCCGGTTCTGGCTCGGCTGGCGGGGTGTCGCCTGTCGGACGCATCAATTGTGCGACTTCTTCATCGCTCTCTTCGGAATTAGAGTTATATGACCCCAACGCTTGATCCCATTCATCTACAATAAAACACTTTTACTCAATTTTCCATCATTTTTTTAAGGAGAAGGTAAAAAAGGATCGGACATTATTATTATCGGACTTTTTTATTATTAATAAAAAGGTAGTGCAAAACCTTAATGATTTACTGAATGTTTAATTAGTTACAAGACTCATTTTTCTATTTATTCGTGTATTTGAATATAAAAACAACATATAATATTATTTTTTTTTACTGGACTACCCATGTAGACACCCCTTTTGTTTACCTAACAAATAACATTACGTCCTGCCAGTCGCCGTTTACGCATTTCAACAGTTAAACTTCAAATAATAAGGCTTGTTTACATAAAATAACTAAATAAATATGCCTGGGAGAAATCCCTTATAACCATTAGATACCTACAATCGATATCTGCATGCAGAGGAAGATCATCTAAGTACACGAGCATGGGCAGTGTAGCGGCGACCCTCGCACGGTAGTGTGCAGAATCTGCTGCCGGTGTCCTAAGCAAAGTCAAACGACGAAGAGATCCACATACACCCAGTGTCCATATACGATTAGTATCGGCTATAGGATTACTGTAAGAATGGAACAATTTCAACTGTCATGAAATTCATCAATAAAAACGTCACCACCCTATTTTACTAAAGTTTTTTAAGTTTATTTTATTGTTCAAATCAAGAATACTCACTCTGATAAATTTAAAGTATGCAACTTCTGTAACGCGGCTAGAGGTTGCAAATCATTTAGCCGATTTCCAGCGGCATAGAACTCGCATAATGCTCCTAAACCCCATACTCCATCAAGGCATGTTAATCCACATCGATTTACACTCAACACCTAGAAACATTCAACTTTATTTATTAGAAGAGATATTCCTAAATTAGAACATTCCTACACGAACCCAGAAGAGCATTCCTACACGAGTAATGCACTCATCCATTACCACTTACTCCCAAAATCTTAAACTTATACGATTTTTTAACCGATTCCATAAAAAAGAGTTATTCTTTTAACATAATATTATTATTGTTATGTAAAAAAATTGCTACCTTAAGATGAACTAAACCAATCCCAAGATCGCGTAATGATGACAGTGCGCTTCCATCCAAAGTAAGAGAACGGAGAAGAGGAGCTAGAACGTGTAACCTCCTCAGTCCGACACGTTCTGCAACTACTCTCAGTTTGGCTTCTCTAATACGCAATACTTCCTCGTCCGTGGTAACGCCACTGGATTGTTTCTATAAAAAATATATACAATTTGACTACGTATTTAAGATCTCAGTTAGGAAAAACGTACTCTTATGAAAGGGAAACCGGTCCGATCTTCACCGACTATCTATAGAAAACTCCAATTCGTACATTTTGAAATATCAGGAATTTACATTTACATTATTTTCATTTTAACTTTAGTTAACTTACAAGTAATTCTATTAAAGTCAGTTCCCTGGGGATGACGATGCGTCTGTAGCCAGGCAAGCGGCGTTCCAGTTCGTCCTGGCCTGGGGGTTGCTCCGGATCGGGCGGCGGCATCGCCAAAGCCCTAGTCATATTCCACTTTCAAATTATTACAATATTAGCAATTTTTTTTTTAAGATACATTTTATTATATCTAATACTAAACAAACATTTATTGCAAAATGGTCCTTTGAACTGGGTACATTGAAATAATAGTACTTTTAAAGAGAATAGATTTTTTATTTTATAAATAAATATTCCATTAATAAGCGACAAATAATTTAGAAATCGGCAGCGAAAAACGTATGGGCGTCTGGGCAATCTTTGTAATATATTTGTGCGTTTATGTTTATAGCTGTTTAAATGAAAGTTTTGACCAAATCAAACCCACCCCCCCCCCCCTTTAGCTCGACATTAATTAAGTGTATAGCACAAATACACAAATTGTGACTAATAAATGTATTTTTCTTTTATTTCTCTTTTAAATTGTCAATCAGTAAAAAACCAAAAAAAATGTTTTTAACAATATAATAGTTAAAACGTTGCCGTTTACAACGCTATCTCTGCATAGACATTTAATTAAAGCATAATTTTGTTCTAAAATTGTGACGACTTGTAAATTTACGAAAACTAGACTAAATAACCCTTTATTTTATTTCTCCGAGCTTAGGAATTTCTTCCCTTTAAGAAATTATAGTGGTTATTATATATTCTGGAATTTTCACAAACATAAAATATTGAATGATGCTATAGCGCCATCTATTGTGGTTTTAAAGAACAAATTTTAATTTGTTAAAGGAACGGAAATGACTATCTTTGGTCCATTCGTTTCAACTTTTGCTATATAGAGTCGCCATCTATTGAAGTGCTTTTTAGTGCTTTATTTTTTTTATACTTCCTCATTGACATAAAACAAAATTCTTACAAACACACTTTTCTTGATTTATAACATTTCACAGCAAATCACCTAATATATTTTTAGTGATGACAATGACGAAAAATCGTCATTTGCTTTCCGAATAACACAACACAAGTAATCAGTGACTTGAGTTTTATTTGTCAGTTAATGTTTATACTTAAAAATATGAGTTGAGTAATATGGGCATAAGCATGGCTTATTTTACTTCTTGCGTTTTTTTAACACTAACTTGAAAAATTACTTTATACTTATAAGCCCAAAATGCGCGGGGCCCCCAAACGTACAGGGCCCTGTACGTTTGCTATTTTTGCTAAGTGGCTAATCCGTCATTAATTTAATGCCTTATGTATGTATTTTAGTAATTTTTTTTTATATATTTCGTAATTTTTTCAAGTTTTTGAAACGTAATATTTAGCAAATTTAAATGTATTTCTTGAATATTTATAAATTAAGATGGTTCATATATTCCAAACATATAGGTAACAGAAACCTGCATTTTCACTTGTACGACACAGTACTATTAATTCTCTTTAAAAATATCAAACAAATAATGTACTTACCGAAATAATTATACTTATAGAAAACACCGCATGGCTATTAAGTCATGTCTAGTTTAATTTTAGAGATATTCATAGGTACCTGAAAAGTGGTGTAGCTCGCACATTTTGAGGTTCTGGTGAACTTGCACTGGATATTTCCGAAAGAGAGGGTGATTCGACAATTGTTGGCGTTTGAGGAACACTACCCAACTCAACAGAAGGGGCTTCATAAGCTGGCATTCTACCTCCCTAAAAGTGTACATGTTTAACAAAAATACTTACTATAGGTAAACAACGTATTGTTATCCGCTACACATATCGGTACCACAGGCAATATAGGTATCTATACCCACTTACATTATAAGGAGATAATTTCTCTCTTTGTTTATTTGACTAGAAACAAATGACCTCCTTTACCTGCGGAAAAAACCTGATCCAATCATGATTATTTTTGTTGCTTTCGAAAGGTTACATAGTACGCGGGTGCTATAAGGCTATAATTGACGCAGACGAAGTCGCGGAAAAACAGCTAGTAGTTATTAAATTATAATTTGTAATGAAGTAATCATCATAGTCAAAGTCAAAGTCAAAAATAATCTTTATTCAAATAAACTTCTTAAAAGTACTTTTGAATCGTCCAAAAATAGATTATAAATGTTTTTTGATTATAATTATGAGTATTTGAATCAAAATTAATGTATAAATCACGTTTGATACATTACACTATGTTTAATCAATCCACATTATGATAAACGATTAAATCCGACCTATTAGTATTTTAGTGCGTTTACTTACGATTTAATATTTTATACGGTTTTCCATGTACTAGGTATGTAATGCTATTAAACAGTTAAGGAAAAAAAATTATAGCAAAACTGTACATACGCCAGATAAATTCAGCTATTTGTTTACCGGTCGCTATTGGTAACAAACATAATTTTTCCCATAATGTTACGTGCGCAGAATAATAAGATAACAAAGCATTCTAAGGTTCTAATATTTTTCGTACTCTGAAGCTTAAGAAAATACTAAAAAAATACTATAGTATGTAATATTTTTAAATTCTCTTGAAAAAATATTGCTGAAAATTTAATAACTGAAGGTTAACTCAAAAGAAAATTATTGTATAGGTCTTGAACATCGGAGTATTTTTCAACTTCGAAGTTAGGTTTCTTGCTTTGAATTGCTTCATGCTTTGAATTCAAACTCCGGAGTTCCGGAGTTTTAGTCTCTTATAGATTTTCAAATAAAATATCATTAGTCTTTTAGCGTGTTTATTTATTAAGGATTATATATATAAAGGTAAGAAACTGTCACGTATGGTCACACTGTCTCAAATAATGGAGTGCGCTCCTCACGATCGAACGGGTACAACAGATTTTCATCGAACCGGCCGTACAAGCAATAATAATAATAATGTCCGGCGGACAGCTCCACACACGACTGAAAACACGTCATAGCGAACCATGTTCGATATATGAACAGACAGATCCGGTCGTTTATTAGCATTCCTTCATTCTTTCATAAAATAAAAAAAATAACAATAAAAAATAGGACTCAAAACAAAGGAATGTTTCCGTCATTAACTAAGGCCGCAAGATGAAGTAATCTTTGCCTCGTCTAATGAAAAAAAACTTTTCCCGCGTTAATTGACAATGACATTTTTAGTTCAATATTACTTTTACAGAACACGTTTACGTTACTTTTTATTCCGTAGATAATCACAAATTCTGCGTTTTACCAAAGGTTTGCATTTGAATCTCTCGTATAATGATCGCAGAAAATCATGCAAACGCAAAACATGAAGAATATCAGTATCTTGATTTGATTAAGAAAATTATTGACAGCGGTAAGTTAAGAGCCAAGTTACAGTTAATTTTTGAGTTAATTTTACTCGACTCATTTGAGTCGATTTAACTCTAAAATGGTTTAATATACCTTCTATTTAGATACGTGATTTGTTCTGTTAACGTCACAAATATCTTTTTTATTTATAAAATAATAGTTTTTATTTTTTACGTTTTATTTTTTACGTTATTAGTTTTTACGTTTTCTTCATAAGGTGACAAAAGAGTTGAAAGAACTGGAGTTGGAACATTATCCATATTTGGAGCCATACAGAGATACTCTCTGGATAATAATACTTTACCACTTCTTACAACCAAAAGAATATTCTTGAAGGGTGTTATTCATGAGCTGTTATGGATGATATCTGGTTCTACTGATGCGAAAAAACTTGCGGCTGCAGGAGTACATATATGGGATGCCAACGGTTCACGATCTTTTCTTGATAATCTAGGATTTGTTGACAGAGATGAAGGTAAGATCAATAAATACTTGTAAACCTTTAGTCTACTAAATAACCATCTATTATACATAGTATAAAACAGAGTCACTTCCCACTGTCTATATGCTCAAATCTTTTAAACTACAATGGATTATAATGAGGTTTTTATCAATATACAGAATAATTCAAGAGGAACGTTTATATAGTAATATAAAGCTAGTAAAAAAGACTAGTAATAAAATTTTTTTGGATTATGTAGATCTTACCAAAAATTTCTAGGAGATTTAGGTCCAGTCTATGGATTTCAATGGCGACACAGTGGAGCACAATATATAAATGCTAAAACTGACTATTCAGGTCAAGGAATTGATCAGATTCAAAATGTTATAGAAACTTTGAAGTAAGTGTAATGAATTTTATTGCAGCCAAAGACTTCAGTTTTCTGGTGATCTTATTTTAATTTAATTAAAATTTGATTTTAGAAAAAATCCAGCAGATCGAAGGATGATAATATGTGCTTGGAATCCATCTGATTTGAGTAAAATGGCACTTCCTCCATGCCATTGCTTGGCCCAATTCTATGTTGCCAGTAAAAAATTATCATGTTTATTATATCAAAGAAGTGCTGATATGGGACTAGGTGTACCATTTAACATAGCCAGTTACAGCCTACTTACACATATGATTGCACACCTTACTGGTTTACAGGTACAGTTTTCTATACCATATACTTAAGTAATAGTTTATCATCCATAAAAATCATTACTGAATTGCTGTAAAGTGAGAACCTTTTTTTTAATTGGTCAATAATGATGGTATTTGTCCAATAAGGGGCCATCCATTATTCACATGATGTTTTTTCAGTATTTTTATACCCCCCCCCCCCCCCTGCATGAAGGTTTAAAACTACATAAATCTTATTTTTGATGCCAGTTTTCAAGGTAGTAATTGCGCTTTTGAAGAATAAATAAATACACGTGATAAATTACTAAACCCCCCCCCCCCCTGTAATATTTCGTGATTTTTAACGAACCCCCTCCATCCCCTTCCGAACCTCACGTGATTAATTTACAACCCCTGAGGTAAATAAATTTATAATAGCACAAATTAAGTTCATCACGTTGGCTATGCTGATCTAAATTAGGCAGTTGGGCATCAGCAGATAAGATTTGCCAAATTTTCATTTATGTGAGCGACAAGAGTGATAATAGTACAATGTTTACCCCAAAATGTTGGAAATTTTAACGTATCAATATGGTAACAATTGCCATAACATAATTGTTTAGTAAAAAAAATGATATATGGAAAGCATGAAAGTAATTAATAGAGCTTGTGCACAAAATATCACTAACTTTCAACTACTTTTGAACTACATAATTTACATTGTAAAAATTAACATGTTAAATCATTTATCCAAGGGTTGTGTCACAGTCAAAACATTTTGTTTTTTTAATTTACTTGGTAGAGAATAAATCACAAAGTTACACTAAAATTCAATAAAATACTTTTTATGGGTAAAAATAAAGTATGCAAATCACTATAAAGTTGGGAGAACTATACAACACTTTTACAAATATATTTTGTGAGTAATTATAGTAGTTAATAACAAGGTAATTGCCCGAGTTTTACTTTAGTCATGTTACTACAAGTGTTGTGGCAAATGCAATTTTCACTAATAATTTTCTGTGTAGTAGTAAAAATGTCTTCCTACGGGTTTAAATAATGCACAAATTACACATTGACAATGAGAAAACCAAAAAAGATAATTAATTTCATGCATAAGTACTGTACTTACTCTTTTTTATTTTAATAAAAATAATGAAACATCATTGTTCGCGCATTGTTTTGTGCATCGTCTTCTACGAAGATGCAGCAGACACATAAAGATATGCTAAAGATTCTGACAGAGAGATAAACATTTTTGATTTCTTCGCGCCATTTGTAGTTGTATTGTGTTATGTCACCACAATAAAGTTTACGCTGTTTTAAAATGCAATATTGTACGCAGTGGCGTAGCGTAGTGGGGGCAGGGGGGCAGCCAGCCCCGGACAGCACTTTTTAGGGAGCGGCAAAATTTTACAGTAAACAATAGAGTATATTTTTTTTTAATATTTGAAACAATTAACGCAACTATAAATTTGACCCGAATGAAAAGAGCACGGAATTTTTCATTACTTATTCTGGAAACACCATCTATACTGACTTACGGGGATTCTCTGAATTTTATTTAGTGATTGGATAGTTTCTGACCTATAATTAGCAAGAATGACTTCTATTACATAAATATTAAGTTAAATATTCTTTATTACATCCCTTTAAGAAAGTACAAGTAAAAGATACTTTGACAATTCATAGAGTTTTATTCACGGATCTTCAGTTGTTTAGATTATTCTTTTTTTATATAAAGACAAGCCCGTTTTTTAGGATACAAGTCCAGTGTGCGAAGGAAAAAGTACACCCAAACTAAAATTACTAATTTGTAGTACACGAAGAATTGTCCTTTGTGGGGATCGAAACCACAACACTCGATCCGTAGACAGTTGGATGGCGACAACTCAACCACACTAAATCTAACCTGTATAATGCAAAATAATGATGACAGTTCTTGCTAAAAAATTCTGTTAAATTAATGAATATAATGTATAGTACAATTATAATATAAAATACCTATGAAATACCTCATTAAGAGAGGCGGCAAAATTGTCTTACGCCCCGGGCGGCAGACACACGCTACGCCACTGAATGTACGGGTATAATAATAAAACGTCATTGGTAGTACCTACCTATATATTGTTGTATAACATTTATATAATTAATTAGTCTTTATATTTAATTTATAGATTACAATAATTAAATATTAAAAGCCAGATAAAACAAAAATACTAATTTTGGGACATTTCCTTGCTTATCAAAGATAATGTAACCACTTCTTTTTATTGTCTACTAATGAAAAAGTCACAATTGATTCTAAAAAGGGGGAAAGAAATTTTACACCCATGGCAATATTCAAGTGTATTATACTTTACTCTGGTTGTTTTCATCAATTTCGATTTTATAGTATAGATAGAAATACGTCACCAAATTACTTGGTCATTGATGAAAAGTCATGCTTAAATCTATTATCTTTCTTGTAAGTATAATTTCATTACCCAAACAGTCATTTTTATAAAGAAAATCTTGACAAACGTGCGCGGCGAACGCCATTGACTTGCTGTCGACAAGTCCCGCCAAAAAAAATTTTTTTTGTTCGGACTGGTCAACAGAAAACGGATCTTATTGGTATTCACTTAAGGGTACAAACACGGTATCTGGATATTAAATAATCTAAGGCAAACGATTATAAAAACTAATAAAAAATTTTGTTTACAGGCTGGAGAGTTTATTCATACCACAGGTGACACTCATGTGTACTTGAACCATATCGAACCTCTGACTGTTCAACTACAAAGAGAACCCACACCATTCCCAAAACTTAGATTTGCTCGTGATGTACAATCAATTGATGATTTTAAGTTTGAAGATTTCATAATAGAAGGATATAAACCACATCCCAAAATAGATATGGAAATGGCAGTTTAACCTAAGAGAGTAAAGAGAACTTTTGCCCTGTTAATTTCCTTTCAATTGAGAATTTCCAATCCCCAAATTGGTAAATGCAATTGTTTGAACATGAAAAAATCTATTGTTATAAAAGTATTTCGTCACAGTAATATAAGACTAGAATATTCCATTGATCCAATGATCTCTATCATTTGCGTAATTTAATCTACTTCATGGCGCCCTACAGTGGTGACTACTCGCTGGATGTCAAAAGTTTTAATGTTTTATGAATTCATGTTAAATTGACTTGACATTTTAAAAGGAGATTCTAAAGACGCGTGGCGTTGACAGACTAACGTCAGCTCATCAGCGCTACAATGACTAATAAATCTATTAGTCTAAAAACTAATAAATCAGGGACTAAATGAATCTAGAATTCATTTCAAAATCAAAGATGGTAGTGCCGCCAGTATGACTCACCATACCTATATTCCGTACTTATATGGAAACCGTTAGGGATCGTCCATTAAACATGTCAAGATGCATTTACCAAATTTTGTTATTATGTTTTAGACTATTTTTTAAGAACATGTTTTAATACTATTAAATACACATAAACGTCCAAAGTTTAAATGTATGTAATCTAAAAAAAAATCTAAATGGTTTTCATCCTCATTTATTTACAATTAAACGAAATAAACCCAAATGGCAATTGAATTAAAAAGAAATAACTACACAATTTAAATTATAATATTCAAAAACCACTACATATTCATTAGGTGCTACATTTTTGTAAAATTTTAACAATATTTAACAAATTGTTTTTATCATAATTATGGCTATTCAACATTATAAAAATTTGTAGTGTGACGAATTTTGTACGTAGTTCAATCTAGTTCAAATAAGTCTTATAAGTACGCAATTCATAGACGCGTGTAATCTTAAATACAAATCGTCACAGTTTGTCCACATGTTTATGGTACACTTGTCAGTGCATACAAAGCTTCTACACATAGAAGTCATTTCATGCACATATTAAAAATTGGGATTATTTAAATTACTGTTATCAACCATGGACGCTTTGTCACGGCGAAGTTTGTCATTGTGATTTATGCCCCATGTGAACAAACTATTTTTTATTTATTTTCAGATTTAATCAGCTTTGAATAATTTAATATCCTCATTATAAACTATATAACGAACATTTCATCTTAAATTATTATTTAACTTATTTTAAGGATCAGCTTCAGTATAAACGGTCGCCGAACTAAAGAATTTTGTACAAGAATAAAATAAAAACAAATTCATTCAACAGCATTTCATATCACTTCACTCGTGCGCAATATTGCTATTGTAATCTAGACAATTTAATCATAGCAAAGTGAACCTAATTTTTTAGTTTCTATAAGTAGGCACAATGGTCATCATACGAAATTCTTTTGATCGGCGACCAAGCTGTAGTATGTATTTAAATAGTTAAATGTACCCTTTCATATTCAGTTGGACATGATAGAAGTTATTTTGAAAATTGATAGAAAAGAAAATACCTGGAATTATTTTTATAAAAAATAACAAAGGAATATTATTCTTAGATTAAATGAATAGACAGATGTATAAATTTCATTAACGTTAAGCATCTTCTGAAAATTCAAATATTGCTTCTAGAATTAAAAACATTTACTGCTCATTAATAACAACCATGATACCAGTATTAACTTTATTATAAGCTACCATTGTTATCTTGCTTGTATGTTTATAGATATGTACGTAGATACAAAAATAATAAATAATGTGTGGGTTTGAAAAATCTGCTTATTATAATAAATCCAAATGGATATTAATTTATCCGTTTTTTTTTTCCTTTTTACATGTTTTGATAATAGCACAGTATTACAGTAGTTGTTCAAACATATATTTTTTTGATTAATTTTGCATTTACAATGTTATATTGATATTATACTTTATGTATGTATTATATAATTGTCTATTTTAGCAAACATATTTTCAAACATTTTAGTTTACCACATTTTACAGTACAACTGGCGCCATCTAGATCATTAGATTTGAGCATCAGCTTACACCTAGAGACTAAGTAATTAATTTTATGGAATAAAAATCCTTATTGTAGTCAAGAGAATGTAGATTAGTTTTTACATAAGCAAAATAAAAAAGACTTAAATATGAAATAATTTAGCGCAGTTACAGACAGTAGTCTATTCAGCCCAGATCCACAAGTTTTTCCAACCGGACCAGAAACTCTATTATACAAACAAATGTTCCCATATAGTAGTCAACTTAAATTCAACTATATCCGTCTTTTAAAAAAAACGTAATATAGGTAAAACTCAGCATTGTTACGATTATAAGAGTTAAAAAACCAGATATTAAATCAGTACTCATCATAAATCAAAGTCTAACCGATGATAGGATCATCAAAGATCTATATCATTTAATTCATTTGTTTGGCATAAAATATTATTACAATACTTTAAATTTATAAATAATCTCAATTAAATAGCTTAAAAAATCCACCCTGTCCCCTGGCACACCGAGATGGGACTCAAACCCATGAAAAAAAAATTCTGTATAGCACTGTGAATGCAAAATTGATCAATTTTAATAAATATTTAAATTTAAAAGTATAGTGTGGTTTTAAAAAATGGAATTATAACAAACTATATTTGTGTGGAAACTATTTCTGGCGATTAAAATTAAGAAAATGTCGAACTTCTGGCTCGTGATAATTAGTAAAGCGTCAACCGTTTATTAGGCAAGACGATATTAGTCTGTGTTTTACCCCCTTGCCCCTCTATATAACAAAACGTAAGAATTGCCAACTTTATTTAATAATTACTACGTAAAAATCCAACGGAATAAATAACTTATAATTTCTTTTTTGTTTATTTTTCCTATATAACTATTTAAATTTCATTGTTTTTACTATTAAATTAAAATAGGTATACAGGTTATATAGTATAAGGTATAAAGGCAAAATCATAAAAATCTAGTGAGTTTTTGCGATTTTACCTAAGAACCCAACAAGAGTTCTTCCCCCTTGTGATGAAATAAAACATGGTTGACTCCCTCATCCTCTCAAACCATCTTACGTCATAAACGGATGGCGTATTAATAACGTTACTAATGAGGAAGTATTAAAAAAAAAACGAAAGCACTAAAAAGCCCCTCCACTAGATGGCGACTCTAACAAAAATTGATTTTTGTAGGAAACGAATGGACCAAAGACAGTCATTACCATTCCTTTTAACTAATATATTAAAAACTGAAATTTGAAAAGTTCGAAACTTAGATATCAATACAAATACGAAAAAGTACAAATAGAATATGAGTTGTTTATTGAGTTTTGAAAACTAATTTATTTTTAAACTTGAAAGAAAACCGGAAAGGTTGTGGAGAAATCAAGAACGTACTGTAACGACATCTAGTTTGATTTCGGGAACAATTTTTTTTTAATAATTCCTCGTTGTGTTATCGTGAGTCTAGTTTTAATACCAAAATTAATATTTATTTAGTGGAAAAAATTGTATTATATTCGTCATTTTAATTCAATTTACAAGCCTTCATTATATTTACCCCATTTTATATCGACGCTTAAGAATCAAGACCATCTATCTACACTTTTGGCGATTTTCACTTTTTAATGCAGTTCTTTTCATGGTTGATTTACGCATCGTTTCCTTTAATCGATTACTACCTAAGTTACGTGTCGTAATAATTGTATGGAAATATCACCCATAACAGAGAACGTAATTACTCGTTTGAAAATTTAATAAAACTAAAAGTTTTCTGTTTGATTAAAGTTTTTAATCTTTATTACTTCGTTTGCCAACACCATCTATATTACAGTTAGCTGCATAAACATACGCAAATATGAATACCAGCTATGTACGGTAATTTTGAAACTAATAAAGATTTTTTGAAATACATGTAAATACCTTATTTCCCATGCCTATCCATTAAATGATCAGGTAAAAAAATAAAAAAACTTGAAAAATATGAAACTTTTTTTTGACACCTGTAAAATCGACTTTGTAGATAGATGGTCTTGGTTCTTATGCGTCGATATTAATATTGCATTAAGTAAGCCGCTGTGTGCGTGGTGATGACTATAGCATTTAATTAAGCCGATATTAGATTGTTATGAGTTTAAAAAAAAACTATATTATCAAAATATAAAGAATCTTAAAACATAGGGGCGACAGAAAAACATGGTCTTATCTACGCTGACAAGAGACACCATACTCTGTTTGTCCACGAGCGAAACATCAAGAAATTTTGAATCTTATAATGAGGAAGTATTTAAAAAAAGAACTAAAGTACCTCCTACCTCCAGTTGATGGCGACTCTAGCAACAGTTGATTTTTGCAGGAAACGAATGGACCAAAGACAGTCATTTCCGTTCCTATTAACTAACATTTTAAAAAACTGAAATTTGAAAAGTTCGAAACTTCGATATCAATACAAATAAGAAAAAGTATAAATAGAATATGAGTTGTTTATTGAGTTTTGAAAACTAATTTACTTTTAAACATGAAAGAAAACCAGAAAGGCTGTCATGGAAAAATTTAAATACTTCCTCATTATATGCATATTATAATTCTTTTTTTTAATCATATCCGTGATGATTATCTTTGCATCTGAGACTATCTGGTTCTAGCTCTGTTCTATCATAAATTATCGAAAGATACTTTTCTAAAATAGACGAAATTTCATTTTAGGAGAAACAGAGAAAGCCTTCTGAACAGTCTACTTTTGATAAAAGTTTGTAAAGCAATAAGGAAAACGGCGGTGTCATGGTTAGGCCCTGACAAAAAGTCAGCGACTTACCATTATCTGTATTTAAAAACAATCTTAATAATAGATATCTTGTAAATAAAATAACTATCAACACATTTGGTCATCTTGTGGCGGCATCTGTAATTGAAAAAAATGAGAACTGTGAAATACTTATAAATTAAAATAATTATGTTTAAATCATATTACTGGAATTTGACACTGAAATGTGACTCTGCTGTGCTTTGCAGTCTATTTATTATGTATAAGCATGCGTGAGAGTAAACACCAGCTAAAAGTAAGTATTTGTGTTTAATGGTATTGCAAATGGCTGTTCATCACTCAACTCATTTCATAATTATTTTTAGAAACTAAATTTTGAATTGCAAAGAAAATTATTTTAATGCAAAGAATGCAACAATAATCGCATTTGAAAGGGGCAGGTACGGTGGATCCACTATAATATACATAATGCAGGTCTAAATGTTATCAGTGACATGCTCCATTGCTTTCAACATGTGGAAAGAATGATTGGATTTACACCTTGAAGAAAACGTAGAAGCCAAAAGAAAAAATGATACACTATGTTTCACCATTGTAAAATAAAATAAAATAATTTCTTTAATAAAACCTACCTGACTCGCTGTGGTATCTTCGCTTCTACTACTAGGAACAGGCAAAGCTGCAAGTTGTTCTACTAAAGCCATAGTCATCTCTGATTCAACAATTACTTCTGCCGATAAAGTATCTAAAAACAAGAAATTAATTACACCATATAGTTTTGTCATAAGATGAAAAAGAAAATGACTACCAATTAAACACAAAATTCCTTGACTTTGGTATTAAACAATTGTATTCTCATGATGTACAATAGGTTCCAGCTCAACTTGTGCTGCAGATAACTACAACATAGATTTTGAGTTGGCATCTTCAGATCCACAACTTACAATGGAAAAATTAACTCACCTCCTATTTGTTCACCCTTACTATTCACCAAATGAAAGTAACCTCTATGTGAGCCTGGCATATTTGGAGCTACTAACTTCAACGTCACAGTGGTAGAATGTCCTGGCGGTAATGGTGGCACATAATGTGGGGTAGCACCTAAAGCTTCACCTCCAGCCTGTATAACTCTACAGCTACCAGGCCATGCCTCTGTTCCAGTATTTGCAATACTCCAACTCTGCTCAAAGCTAAAATATATGTATAGAATAATTTTAACATTTCATTATCTTCTTTTACTACAGTGCCTATTAACTAAAATATGCTAAATAGGTATCACTATCAAAAAAAAGTATATTGATACTAATTAAAGAAAGAAGGATATTAATTCTTTCAAATCAAAATACAAATAATTGTATTATGATATGATTATAAATGCTCAGAGAAATCAAGTATACCCCATACTTTATACTCATAACAAGGTTTCATATTATAAGATGTCATCATCAGCCCTGTTACGTCCCCACTGCAGGGGCTCAGCACTTCCATATAGATGGATAAGGACAATGGGCCATGATCTTCGAGGTGGGCCCAATGCAGATTGAAGGATATTGACGACTGCAGACGTAGCCTGGACCAACGGCTTAACGTGCCATCCGAAGCATGGAGTAGCTCGATATATTAATAATTTGGTCACCCATCCCGTGACCGACCCTAGCGAAAGTTGCTTAACAACAACGATCGCAGGCCACGGCGCTTATCCACTATGCCACCGAGCTACATTAGAAGTTATATCTATTAATAATAAAATAAACAATTAGAAGATGTACCTATTATTATACTTAATAAATCGCTTTTTACCGACCTCAGTAATATAATATTTGTCTGCAGCCCATGCTTACATGCGGGAAGGATTCTTTTTGTTTCAATACTCACAAGACCGCAAATTTTTTTGCAGTCTTGAAACCGCCACAGATGTATGAACATCAGTAAATATGGAGGGAGGAAATCACAAATCTGACAATTACACACACCGTGGTCACATTATACTTAGCAGTGACCACCAATAAGTACTTAGATGTAGTACTTTATGATGACAATAATTTTTTTTGTTATGCTTTATTGTGTATAATTCTAAAGCAATGAAAATTCTTCTTTGATTTAGTATGTGTTGGTTATAGTTATGTAAAATTAAAAAGAAACCACAGCTTCTAGACATTTTTTGCTTCTATATTTTTGTCAGTATTAAAGCAGCTTCAAAATATAATTAATGGTAATCTTGTAAACCAACAATGTAAGAGTAAGGCAAACTACTAAAACTTCTAACATATATACCCATATATGTTAGAAGTTTTAGTAGTTGTTAATATTATTATTTTCATAGTTTGCATTCATTTACTACATAAATACTATGTACTACTGTCTACTTTTGTTGTTGAGTTTGTTCTATTCTATTGTATTCTAACCTTTATATCTATATAATTTTACATACCTAGTGGTATCAAATGAGTCCACTCTAATGGTAACCTCTAGGTCTATTTATATGAAGAATAGTCAGTTGCTGAGTGTATGTGACCAGAATCAATGTAAACAAGCTAACTTTTTAAATTTATTTTTTATTTTCATGTTCACACTGAGACTCACAGACGGTGGACAACTCCATGTTAGTTTTGACTTAAAAATTGTTGCAACTTACCAAGTACCAGGACTAACTGCAGTTTCTTGGTTCTGTGCAGCTTTTAATGACATAGAAGGGAGTTTTGGTGGCAAAGTATAATCTAAATAACAACAAATTGCTGCTTGCAAGTTCCTAAAATGTTAAATTTGTAATCAACATTTTTTTAAAACAAGTCATATAACAATATAATATTGCAATGAATTGATATCAATATATCGAGGATTCTTTTTTTTATTAATTTTAGTCTTACCAATTGCTCATATCCAAAAAAAAGCTTGCTGTATTATAGTTCAAACTAGGACCCAATAGTCTTTGCATTTGATTTATTAATTCCTCTCTATCAGTAGTATTCATACAACTGAATTGTAGTAACAGATTTTGGTCAATTTCTCCAGAGAAAGACGATCCATCAACATCCATTTTGGAAATATTGTTATCACAAAATACTTTGTTATTTAGACCTTCACAAAATACTGACATACCCTTTGTTTACATCTGCCAGCTGACTGCAAATGCACATTAAGTCTACAAATTAAACGTAACTATATTAATTTATCATTCAATCTTAATATACCAAATTATAACGTTTGCTTCCCAATTATGTCCGTAAAACGATGGTAAAGCAACTTTTTTATTATCAATTTGGCACCTTAGTTTTTAGACTCAACTTTCAGATTTTATTTGACGCTTTATAAGCTTATTGGAAAAATATCGATATGTTTAATTAAGATATCGATAAATATAACGATACTTGGATACTGCATCTAAATATATATATATATACATATCGTTTTATTTATAATATATATAATAAATAAATAATGCCATGGAAAGAAATAAAAAATATTTATTTTATTTCGATTTTAGTATTTTTATGATAGCAGTAACAGAAATCCATCATCTGTGAAATTATATTCATTTTTTGTTACTCCAGTTACATTGCCATCTGTGAAAAAAAATATAGTTTCTTAGTTTATATTAAATGGGAAGATGTTATTAGGAATAAACGCAATATGAGACTGTAGTATATTTATTTATCAAATCAAATCAATATTATTTATTCAATCTGTTGCAAACACTTGTGAAAGTTAAGAGCTACGCCATCGGTTCGTAAATCTACGGCGGAAGACCTTGTACCGAGAAGAACCGGCAAGAAACTCGGCAAGGGCAGCTTTTTTCTCCGTTTTATTTCATACAGAGCGTCAAGATTGAAAAATAACTTCATTTAAATATGAAGTCACTTTCCATTAGAATATTACACAATATAAGAGTAAAACAGTATTTTCGTCAATACAATCACATGTGTAGCCAAAGAAGCTCACCGATTGACAATTTAATATATACGAAAAATGAGCCATATTTAACACCAAGCAGTTTTGTCGTTTAAATATTCATTAACAGTATAATATCCTTTACTGAGTAGACAATTCCTCATATGGGTTTTAAAGTTAGGTTTTTAAACAGATTACTATAAGGACCATCATTTGACCATACCATCTCAATTAATTTCTCATCTATGTTATTTTTAATATTATCTATAATTGGTCTACACTTAATAATTTTTGGCTCATTAGTAATATGTGGTCTTCAGTCCGTAATGGTCAGATGTAAGATTGTTGAATACAAGTTTATTAATCGGATCATAATCAGAATATACATTATCCAAACAAGTGGCTGAATGTACCGTTACTCTAGTAGGCTCAAAAATTAATTAAAAAGATTGAAGCATTTAAATAATGATAGCAAACGAACGGATGTTGAACAGCTCCACACAAGATAGCTCAATATGACGTTCCACTGAGATATTCACTATATCTTTACGCTCCTTAAACTTGAAATTATTATTTACAAATATTAATGATCCTCCCCGCTGGGCTCTCCTACGTGTATATGAACTAAGCATTTGAATTTTTTTTTAATGAAATGCCTTTTCTCAAGGCCTCAGCCAATGCTCCGTTAAATAATATATATGAACATCATGTTCTTTTGCAAATAATTCTAATTCTAAATCTTTGCCAGTCAAACCCTGAATATTTTGGTGAATAATATTAAAATTTGTAGATTAGACTCTTGTCTTACCCTCTACTTTAAAACTGAGTTGGAAATGAGTATAGTACTATTTACGTTAGTAGAATTACTAACACAGTAGTGAGACTTCGTTATATCAACTATAACAGAATATTGTAAATTGAAAGCTAACAGAGTAGCTATCAGAGTCCTATATAACTTTCCTAGAGTATCTATTGTCAACTTAAATTTACCAATATATTTGTTAATGTCAAAATATAAAATATCATCGCTATGATGAGATATCAAATTATAGATATTCTATATAATTATAGATTGTCCTGGAGTACATATATTTATAAAGTTTTGGTCATATTTACTTTTAATTGTTAACCCCATTCCCTGTCTAGTCTGTCAGAAAACATAATTGTTTTACTGTTATTTAAATTATTTGACAACACATCTGAAAGGAACTGAATTGTCAGTTATACTTATGGATTGTGAAATAGCAAATGAATGACTGCAATCTCGTTCAATCACACTCTGTGTATTACTAAATAATGCCGGTATAGAAGACTCATTTCTAGAACCGATGAATTGATTTTTGAATAAAGAGTCATATCTTTCAGCATTATAATTGCAAAGATCGACTAAGGGCGCTTATGCACTACACTGAATTTTCAGATCCAGTGGTCCGATTTTTTCCAGTCCGGAATGACATGAAAAACCAGGATGAGTAGCTTGTGCAGTTATCCGTTTTTTTCCTGATCGGAGCGGCGCAGTTTAGGGCAGCTCTCTTTGAAGCTACACGTCATTCACGCTAGGTACGATGAGATTTTTGAAACGTCGGTAATTGCTTGCTTTGTTACTCTATGTGCGAAGACGTAGAAGACAGAACAAATATTGGGTTCATCCCCTTATTAGTGAAAGGTACCTAAATAATGAAAAATACAGAAATAGGGCGCTTGTGCACTACACTGAATTTTCAGATCCGGCGGTTCGATTTTTTCCGGTCCGATATGTCAAGCCAGTAATGCCAGCCTGTGCACTGTCAGGAATTTTACCGTCCGGATTTTTACTTTTCTCTGTTCCGGACCAGTTTTTTCAGGTCCGTGATGGCGGCAATGAAAAATGTGTTTACGCTTGTGCACTGCTGTGTCCGCGATACGGAAAATTCATGAGCCTGCGGAGTAAGGTTGGGAAAAAATAATCAATTAATGAAAAATCGATGTTTATTGTAGATTTTAAAATGCAATATTTTAAATGATGATTCAATAAAGTTGAAAAATATCACTGCATATGCCTTGGCAAACTCGTATAGTTCTAATTTGATCATCGTATGGTTCTAGTATTGATACTTTGTTAGATTCTAGAGATTTTTTTTTATTAGTCGTCGATCTAGGTTTTCGAGAGTAGACTATTTTCATAGGCTACCTTATATCGCGAAAAAAAGGTGAAAATAGGGGATGAATAAATAAATATCTGATAATAATTGATAAGAATAAATAAATATCTGATAACAAAAGTAATAATAAAGAATAAACATAAGATAAACAAAAGTAATTTAGTGACACTCAATGTCTTTTTCGTATTTATTGTAATAAAATTTGAAACGACTGTTTGTGTCATTAATAAATTTAAAAAAAATAAGTATTCTAAAAGATAAAAAAATCCCGCTCAAAGAAGCCACACCACGCGTATAAAATTATACCTATATATTATATAATATAGTCAACTGATCTTACAATGATCATAGTTAAATCATGACATTTAAAACTTACAATAGGATGGCTGATTTAAATGCCATCGTAAAGTTCATTTAGCAAATTTGTGTAGTGTAAGCGGAAAATTAATATACTCAATTAACTTTACGATGGCATTTAAATCATAAAACCATCATATTGTCAGTTTTAAATGTCATGATTTAACTATAATAATTGTAAGATCAGTTGACTGTATTATACAGGAAGCAATTAAAACCACTCTCCAAATTTGAGTATGTTAATCTTTACGACAAATAATGAAATACGGGTTTTTTCTTTTTATGTCGTTTAGAACAAAAATGTTGAGTTATATCGTCACCAAGTTATTTTCAAAAAACCTACATTTGTGGACGCTCTCGCTGCCCAGTACGTGCGCTTTACGCACTACATTGCACTTACCCCTCCCTCCCTTGCCGCAATTCATTGATAGTAATAATAGCAGCTACCTAAAATGTTTTCGTTTTGTCATGCTTGGGGAAATGGTAAATAAAGTTGAAACCTCTTCATACTTTTACGGGCTTAGGACCGTCAAATTGCCTAAATCCTATTAGATACCTACTATTACAATAGCTATACTGTTTTAAATTTATAAAGTAAGTAGGTAAGTAAATATCGAGTTACCTAAATTTCTGTTTAGTTAAACCAATTCAAAGTAGGTACTTAACTCGCTATTCTTTTGAAATCAGGCGTATTTAATCAACTTTATGTACATAATCAACTAATCAATTTACCTACCTACTTTAACTATTTACCTACGTATACTTTAGTAATTGTTCAATGTACATACCGTTCCTCTCCAAACAGAGTCTTGCACCTTTTCTGCACATTGTCTTTTAATTTTACGAGCACTACCGTGTCATTTTTCACTTGGTAAAATGCCGCTCTGATTTGCACTTTTAAGTCCTCGAGGCTTTGTGCATCCTCAACATACACACGTCTTTTAATTTCGCCCCACAAATAAAAGTCACACTGTGTTAGGTCCGGCGATCGCGCAGGCCTCACGAAGGTGGCCTCCGCGTCACGTTGATCACCATGTATGTAACACTGCACCATTTCATAATATTCGCGATTGGAATACATTACGACGCGCGAAGTGTGGGGCTGCGGCGGGTGGCGCGCAGCACGGAAGCGAAATGCGGAAGTGCGTGCGTTCAAAGGGGTTGTGCGCCGACAAAATAAAAAACCGAGCAGACATCGTCGTTGGCACATGCGAGTACATCCCCTGCGCCCGCGCCCTTCTACCCCTGCTTGTTTTATTCATAACTCGTGTGACAATGCGAATGTTATAATTATCTTGTAATTGCAACAAGTTTACATTTCATTTTGAAAATTTTAAATACCGTTTTTTTTTTCATATATGTGATCTATTAACGATACCTAATGCCTAGAAAAAAATTGGAGAGTCATTTTAATTGCAACCGACACAGTCAAAAGTGTCAAGTCAGGTTACATGCAAACATCATTTTATTTGACAAATATTTCAAAATAAAGAAGGTGTAAAATTGGAGCAAAAAAATTTTAATTTCTATGTCTTGAGAGCCCTATAACGCGCATGCGCAATATCGATTGTGCGCAGATAACAATGGACCGCGAAATACATTAATTTAATTTAATTATTTACCGATATCTTGATGATAGTCGATGCTGAAAATGTCCATTTCCTCTCTGAAGACTGAGCTAAGCACGCTTTTTTGCATGCGCAAAACACATCACATTTCACACAATCTTTACTAAACCACACTTAACACTCAAGACGAACACTGTAGTATCTTATTAACATAAATTCAATTAAAAATGCACTATAACAAAACAAAAATCGACAAAAAAGGCGCTTCGCAGCGGTGCGTTGGCGGCGATGCGCAACAACACTCCAGCGCAAACGGTCGGCGGTGACTGAGCTCCGTTAGGAGTAGTATTAATATTTTATGCGACTGAGTTACGGGAACCCCCGACAGAACAATGAAGCGAGGTAGCGGTTGTCGGGCGGGTGGGGCTTTTATCCAGGGTCGAACTCGGTTCATCTTTTTTAATTCGTCTTTTGATATTATGCATTTTATAATGTTCTTTTTAAATGCAATTACTTTAATACTATTTAATAACAAATTCCTCAATGTTTATAAAACAAAGTACATTTGTGTTAGTGATGAATCGCTGAAAGATTTGTGAGTTTATCGAGTTTAATTAACGATTCCGTTGTTAAAGGAGTATTATTCCCAGTACCCTATTCAAACAATTTTTTTGGAGAACTGCTCTTTTAAAATAATGTTGGTTAATGTTAGATAGGTCTCTGTACAATAATTTAGAAAATTTTACACTCGGTTTCTGCGTTGAGAATTTAAAGTTAAACGTCTCAAAGTAACATCACATAGTTTTCGTTTCCGATTTTAGTTTTTTTATGATCAGTTGATAGCAGTTTGATAAAACTAGGACTTTTTAATCTGTCAAATTAAAAAAACTTAGGTTATTTAGAATCAGCAGTAGAGATTATATACTTTTTTCTATTCAGAAACCGGGTGTTAGTCTGTAAATCGATTTAAGCATTTTGACTGTCTTGTTTATTGATTGTCTGGTATTATTTGCATGGATGCGGTCTTATATATCACAAACCAGTTTATTTCGTTTTTAGAAATGAAGAAGTCAGTGTCCGATTAAAAACTTTTCCTTAGTACGTCCCAAAAACAGCTGACTCAGGGTTGAAAACACTCATTTTTTTCCAAAAACTTTGAAATTTATTATCTCCGAAACTATTTGATCTAGGCATATAATTTTTTTACATCATATTAAAGACAAATAGTACTCTCCAGGAACCTCGGGAGTGTCGGTCGTTCTGTTCCACCGAGTATAGGTATAATTTTATACGCGTGGTACGTTTTCTTTTTCTTTTAGAATACTTCTGTTATGGGCGCTTGTGCACTACACTGAATTTTCAGGTCCGGCGGTCCGATTTTTTCCGGTCCGGAATGACATGAAAAACTCGGATGAGTAGCTTGTGCACTTGTCCGTTTTTTTCCTGATCGGAGCGGCGCAGTGTAGGGCAGCTCTCTTTGAAGCTACACGTCACTTACGCTAGGTACGATGAGATTTTTGGAACGTCGGTAATTCCGTTCGAAGACGTAGAAAGGTACCTAAATAATGGTCTGATCGTTTTACATAAACCATAATAAATTATGGCAAGACGAAAGCATTTTTTTTTTACTATCGGATGACTACTATCAGATGTAAAAACTTATACCCTTACTAATTTAGGAACAGCATTATTCACATACAATAGCTAAAAATATCTGTGACATTAGAATAAAATTACTGATAATGGTCTAGTACTTGATGTTTAAATTTTTAAACGTGCTATTTTTTTTCGAAGTTTTGTAAAAACAACTTTCAGCGATTACAGAGATAGACCAATCGGTGGCGCCATTTCGTAAACAAATCGAAATTAGTGCCGTGTTAGCGGAGAATTATTATGCTAAATTAACTTTACGAGATCAGTTGACTGTATTATATATAGGCATAATTTTATATGCGTGGTGTAGTTTCTTTGAGCAGAAATATTATTCCCTTAGAATACTTCTTTTTTTTAAATTTATTAATGACACAAACATACATTTAAAATTTTATTAAATACGAAAAAGACATTGAGTGTCACTTAATTACTTTTGTTAGTCTTCTGTTTATTCTTTATTATTACTCCTGTTGTCAAATATTTATCTATACTTATCAATTGTCTAAAAAAATTTGATAATGACAAATTTCCAGGCAAACTTTCATCCCTTATTTTTCGCGATAAAATGTAGCCTATGTCTTAAAGTTAAGTCTATTTACTATATTAATTTCCATTTAGATGGGTTCAGTTGTTTAGGCGTCTAAGCGTAACAACACTTATTTGTCTTACCTTAAGCTATCGATACTTTTAATACGATTCTAAAATCTAGCTAAGTATCGATACTAGAACCATACGCTGATCAAAATAGAACTATACCGAGTTTGCCAAAGCATATGCAGTGATATATACCAACTATATTAAATCATCATATAAATATAACATTTTATAATCAACAATAAATATCGATTATAAGTTTATTGGAAATTAACAATATTGCCGAAATAAATATCGATTCAAATCGATTATTTATTCCCAAGCCTATTCCTTATGAATTTTCCGGATCGCGGACACAGCAGTGCACAAGCGTTAACACGTTTTTCATTGCCGCCATCTCGGACCTGAAAAAACCGGTCCGGAATAGAGAAAAGTAAAATTCCGGTCGGTAAAATTCCTGACAGTGCACAAGCGCGCATTACCTACATATGGCCTGATATATCGGACCTGAATAAATCGGACCGCCGGACATGAAAATTCAGTGTAGTGCACAAGCGCCCTATTAAATATTTATTTATACTTATCAATTGCCTAAAAGCAAATTTCGATATTAACAAAATTTCCATGTAAACTTTCATCCTCTTTTTCGCAATAAAAGGATATATCTCCTTATATAATATCTCCTTTCTCAAGGTAAGGTTTATTTCTATATTAATTTCTATTAAGATGGGCTCAGTTGTTTAGGCGCCTAAGCCAGGGGGGGCACTCTTCACAGTATGTCAATTTTCGTAGCCGACAGCGACATCTACAGATTGGTTAGTGAAGCTTTGGTTGTCAAATTTATTTGACAGACAATATGGCCGGTCTATTTTGTCGTTGTCAACTCTGTCTGGCTTGCTTGTAGATGTTGATGTGCTTGTTGAATTTCTCGGTGTTTTTGTTATTGTTAAAATCTTATATTGTTAGTGTTTTTGTTAAGTTTCTTGTTATTTTCTTTGTTAAAACTGTGTTTTCTTGTTTGTTATTTGTTAAACTCTCTTTTGGTTACTTTCGTAATAATGAGTGGAGTTCAGAAAAAAAATTGCATATTTGGCTGTGATAGCTTAGGTAAGTGAGTCTAAATGATTTATGATTTCACTCAAGCAATAAAAAACTATATTTAAGCTGCATTTCATGTCGCTTTACATCGAAATGCCTTAAACAGGATTTAAATGATGTGAATAATGTTTACATTTAGTTTTCGTCATTAACATAACTATCATTACTATTTCAGCTATCCAAAATGTACCTCTCCATCGATTTCCAAATCCCGATATGCGCCCCGCATTATTTACTGCTTGGGTGACTGCAGTTGGTGAGAATATTGGTGAAAACAAAACTCAAAAAATTTATAAGAACAAGAGAATATGTGATCATCATTTTGAGACGAAGGTTTAAGCCGAAGACGAAGAAGTCAGCTGTACCGACAATTTTCGATCGTATGTTTATATATCTATTTCATCATCATAATCACCAGCCCTTTTACGTTCTCACTGCAGGGGCTCGGGCCTTCCTTATGGGGGTCATGACCCAATGCGGGTTGGAGGGTATTAACGACTGCAAATATAGCCGGGACCAACAGCTTAACGGCATGGAGTAGCTGGAGATAATAATTTTTTTGTCACCCATCCCATGACCGACCCTTGCGAAAGTTGCTTAACGACTACGATCGCGGGTCGCGGCGCTTATCCACTATGCCACCGAGCTACTCCATATATCTATTTACTATCAATGAATTTCTTTCAAGCTATCAAATTTGTCAATGTATTTTTTTAATGTGGCTTTATAATGAAATGGTAGCGCTAAACAAACTACATTCATAATGAAGAAAGATGAACTTTTTTAATGTAATGAATGTTGTTTTAGGTGTGAAACAATCTATAAATATTTTAGTGGATATTCAACATAACTACTGTCATTCTAGAAGGGAATCTTCACATTCTACACTTTTGTCCAATGTAACTAACATACAAAATGATGTCAATAATCTAGTCTCTATCAGCTTGGTCCATCTACATCAAGTGAAATATGTCATCCTCAAGTTTCACAATCCAAATTTGATTCAGGTAACATATTTTTTCTATTTATTTACAACTTACCTATTCTATATTTATCGAAACTCCATAAATATATAGGTATTTTCAGTTAACACAATTTTGTTTATTAATTAAACAATGTAAGGATAAAATTATATGTTACATTCAAAGCCTTCTATGTATACTATTAGCTAAGCTGTTCAGAATTAAAATTGTGACACCATAATTGTTTAGGTTTTGTAAAGGGTAAGGGATAACTAAATGACATATATAGAAGTCTTTAGTTATATTAAACTGATATTGAATCAATTCATAGACATCTGTATACTATCTAGTTATTGCAATCATAAAATGACCAAAAATCTCATGATTTTTTTATAAACAAAATCAAATATTTCTTTCATTTATCTACTCTAAAATTGTAGTGTTATATATTATTACTAGCTTGCTATAAGATGTGACTGATAATTATAAAGCCTTTACTGTTACTGTGTTCTCATAAATATAAATGTTTTGCAAAAATTAAAAGAAAACTAAATAGAACTATGCTTTTCAGGTAAAACACTTGAATTTTTAGAAAAGGATAAGGAGAAAAAGCGTGAAGAAACAAAGACAGAAGAAAAATGAAATCTATAGATTACGGCGAAAAATTAGGAAGATAAGAATGTCTTTGATGGTACATGAAAAAAACAGTGTTAAGAAGGATTTCAAAAAACTAACAATGAACATGCCAGAATCTGCAAAGATGTTTACCAGGATGCAATTTGAAGAGGGACAAAAGTAAAAGAATGGTCGTAGATTTATGTAGGAAGAAAAAATATTATCCCTTTCATTGTATAAAAAAAGTCCTAAGGCTTATAAACTGATGTGTAAGCATTTCAATTTTCCATCTCAAAAATCTTTATTTGCTCAAATTAAATTGTCACCAGGTATAAATGAACAAGTTTTTAAAGAACTAAAAATAAGTGTCGAGAAAATGTTATATCAAGATCTGTGTACATTAGTATTTGATGAAATGTCAATATCTCCACACATTCACTATAATGTTTACACGGATGATCTTGTTTTTTTAATTGCAAAGAAGATACAAATAAATGTCTCAAATCTCTGAAATTCTTCCTAAAAAATAAGAATATAAGTGATGCTCCCTCACAGTCTCATACTATCGTTTAAGATCAAGCTTTGAATGTTATACAAAATAATAAAAGCATTTCAGATGCAGGGGCTGATCAAGGAGCATATGTTTGTGGGTGGGCTTTAGCCAAATGTCTGTAAAAAATTGAGGTTGTAAAAATTGTAAAAGTAAGTTACTAGGTCTCGCAGATAAGGAAACAAACCGATACATTAAAGCCAAAGAATACAAAACCAATAAGTTGTTATCCGTCAGATGATTTATTCGCTTCTTTTCAAGAAATCCAAAATGTTACATTTGTATTTCTCAATAGTAATTGCCATGAAAGATTTTTAAAACATCGAATCACATCATTTTTAGAAATGTTTTCTGATATTGCTTTTTTAAATTGTGATAAACATAAAGATAGCATCACCAAATATTTCACTGATTTATCTATAAACATAATTATTTATAGCTGGTGCAGAGCAATAAATAGAATAATAGATGGAAAAATGTCCTACCAAGGAGACGATAAAATAAAAAAAGCGGCTACAGAGTATTATAATAAACATAAAAGTTATGCCACTAAGAAATAATGTAATATTTAATAAAGGTATAATTATACAAATTATTTTTTTACTTATTTCCAATTACCTATAATAAAAACATCTTAAACACTCTTATCTATAGTCGAAAGAAGTAATTATTTGAGAAAATGTCTTAACAAGCAAATGTCTTTTGCCCATAGACATATTCTCAAATAATTACTTCTCGACTATTAATACGAAGTTAAGAATAGCTATAGATAATACCTATATATATGCAAGTTTACAAAAATATATCTATACGTAAAAGCTATGTATAGTATAGTTGTCAAAAATAGTTCACTCACCAAACTCCAGCTGGCAGCACTTTCCATACATGCAAAATTTTCCATAGAGTTGCTACTCTTTCCCTTTTTATATTACATTACTCTTTGGCCTAAGCGTAACAACATTTATTTGTCTTACCTTAAGTTATCGATACTTTTAATACGATTCTAGAATCTAGCAAAGTATAAATACTAGAATCATACGATGATCATATTAGAACTAGATATGCAGTGATATTTAAAAACAATATTAAATCATCTTATAAAATATCACATTTTATAATCTAAAATAAATATCGAATATCAGTATATCGAAAATTAAGAATGTCACCGAAATAAATATAGATTTTTGATAAATCGATTATTCTTTCCCACGCCTACTCCGTAGGCTCATGAATTTTCCGGATCGTGGACACAACAGTGCACAAGCGTAAACACGTTTTTCATTGCCGCCATCACGGACCTGAAAAAACCGGTCCGGAATAGAGAAAAGTAAAATTCCGGACGGTAAAATTCCTGACAGTGCACAGGCTAGCATTATCTACATATGGCCTGACATATCGGACAGTAAAAAATTGGACCGGTGGGCCTGAAAATTCAGTGTAGTGCACAAGCGCCCATAAGGTAATTTTCTTAACTGATCGACATGCTTTTTAAGCATTTACAAAAATTACATTAAGTTGGTGACAATATCATTGACATGTTGAATTTTCGAGTGCGAGTTAATACAAAGGGCAAGATCAGTCATAATGGCTTAATGTAGTTATGTAATTTCAAAAAATTAAAAGAAGTTTTAAAATTTGATTTAAATGTGTTTTGTGCAACAAAATAATGACATTAGTCTTTAATTGCGTCTTTAAGATTTAATGATCTTTCTGCAACTGGCTGTAGCAGACGTTAATATGCAAAGATCGTACTCGAAAAAAATCGTAAACCAGAACATAGATTGTAGTTCAGTAATTAAAAACAAATTTTATGCTGTTTATTGTAAGACCCTGGATGTTGTTTGTGAATAATTGTAAAGTGCTACATTTTGCATAGAATATAATTATTATTACATAATAGATATATGCTGATTTTAAGAATGCGATTTTTTTCAGGTCCGTGATGGTGGTAATGAAAAACGTATTTACGCTTGTGCACTGATGTGTCCGCGATCCGGAAAACTGAGGCGTGAAACATGAGCCTGCGGCGTAGGCGTGGAAAAAATGATCGCTTTATGTAAAATCGATATTTATTGTAGATTATAAAATGCGATATTTTATATGATGATTTAATATAGTTGGTGAATATCACTGCATATGCTTTGGCAAACTCGATATAGTTCCAATTTGATCATCTATTCATTAAGTAAAAAAAAATGCTTTCGTCTTGCCTCAATATATTATGTAAAATGATCCTGTCAGGTCATTATTTAGGTACCTTTGACTTATAAGGGGATGAACCCAATATTTGTTCTCTCTTCTACGTATTCGCACGTAGAGTAACAAAGCAAGCAATTACCGACGTTTCAAAAATCTCCTACCTAGCGTGAGTGACGTGTAACTTCAAAGAGAGCTGCCCTAAACTGCGCCGCTCCGATCAGGAAAAAAACGGATAAGTGCATAAGCTACTCATCCGGGTTTTTCATGTTATTCCGGACCGGAAAAAATAGGACAGCCGGATCTGAAAATTCAGTGTATGCACAAACGCCCTATCACCTACATTTTGTTTCATTTGTTTTTGTTTTACAAGTTTACTTGCACAAGGAAGCAATAAATCAAAAGTAGTAGGAACTTGTATAACTGTGCTGGTGTTTTACAAGTAATGCTATGTCGAGTCGGTCTATATACGAATAAAAATTATTGTGAAGAATTTTCTAAATCCTGTTTTTTCGAACGATGTCTTTTTCAACGCCGTTTTTATAATTTTTACTGCATTTTCTGCTGAGCCATTGCTGCCGGGTTTGTATGGCGTTGTCGTTAAGTGATAAATACTTAATGAGAACAAGAAATCTTTGAATTCTTTACCATTAGAGGGTGGCCCATTATCTGAAAAAGAGTTCATATGGCAAACCAAATTGTGAAAATACGTGCATTAGTTTAGATATTGCATACAATATGTATCGCTGTATGTATGCAATATCTAAACGTATGTATCGCTGACGCATTTGGAACTCGAAATGCTTCAAAATATATAGTATTACGCAACATAGAAAAAATACGACATGCAGCCTATACCAAGACTCTTGTGGCCATAGCCTGGGGTACAGCCTGGCGGCGCGAAGCGAGGGGCGCTCCCGCGCACACGCTCAATGTCCGTATCAATTCCTGGCCAATACATATAGTTGCGAGCTAAATTCTTACATTTAACAATCCCTTGATGTCTTTCATGAATTTGAGCTAATATTGCTTTACTTATTTATATTAGATAAGATCTTAAAAACAGCCAAAATTCTTTCCTACAGTTTATCACATCTAAATAACAGGTAACAAAGGGTATTTTAAACAATTTTTCCATTATTCATTGAAATTTATTAGGCGCACATTTAATGCCAAACGGTAAGCGATTAAACAATACATTCCCTGTTGTGTCACAATCGTACATAACTTTTTTTAGTTGTCAGCTAATAACAGCTGTAAGTAGACATTGATAAGATCTATTTTTGCAAATATGAGATCACCTTGTAATGCCGCAAAAATATCTTCGATCTAGGTATCGGGTATTTGTCATAAACTAATGCTGGATTGAAAATAGTTTTAAAATCACCGCATAAACGTTCCTGGCCACTCTTCTTTATAACAGGGTCCACTAGGGTACCCCACTCATTCCACTTGACCGGCGAGATAATCCCCTCGCGCTCCAGCCGGGCCAACTCAGCCTCCACCACCGGGCGCAGCGCGTGCAGTACGGGACGCGCGCACCGCCACACCGGTATCGTGCTCTCCACCACCGCTAGTTCGATTTGACATTTATTGAAAGTACCTATATCCAACGCTAATGATTATGGAACTTTTTTTGGAACTCGTTTACAGCCTCTTTCGAGTTCGACAGTTGTGATTCGATACCAGCGACTGGTTTCAAAACAGGGAAATTAATATGAAAAGATCGCATCCAGTCCCGGCATAATAACGAGGGACTTATCTATGACTATTAAACTTAAGGTGGATATCACTTATCCATTTATTTCTACGACACAATTTAATTTACCCTTTGGTTGTACTTTATGTCCACTAGACATTTTTAAATTTGAAGTACAAGGTTATAATGAATATTTACTAAAAGTCTTATATGAAACAATACTGATTGCTGAACCGGTATCCCCTTCGAACTGAATTAACACATGATTTATTTTTACGAGTATCACCCACTGATCGTTGAGGGTTTCATCATAACTCATTTGATACACTTGTTAGAGCAAGGAGTTTTTACTCATGTATAAAATACTTTTTAGAACAATTTTACTCTTCTGATTTATTTGACACAATGTTTATTTTGGTGATTAGCTGTCCATGCCTATTGTTTTTTTTTACTTCACTTCTATTTTGATGTTCTTGCAAACTATAAATAAAATTCATAAAATTGTCTTTTCACTCATAGTCGAAACACCCTTATCAGTACTCACTTCGCACAAACAACAGTTTCCTCGTCGCCAAATAGTTTATATTAAATGGGAAGATGTTATTAAGAATAGACGCAATACGAGACTGAAGTAGATATATTTATTTATTTTTAGTACCAGTACCAGTTTCTGATTTTTTGTGGATTCAACCGTTTTGAGATAAACAGCTGAGATAACGTAGCACAATAATGATTTTGGTAAAATATATAGATTTTACTATAAAAAGAAATTCACACTTTTAATATACATAGTATGTATGGCTCTTGGAATAATGGATGAGCACTTCGTTGTAGGTTTATGATATTGATAAAATATTCAAACTTGCCCTCTTATCTCAAAACAGACACAAAATATCTATATATTTATTTTTCTTACCGGCATTCCGATATTTGAAACGGTTTTGTACGTTAATTTTCTCAGTGGGTGTTTTCTTTTGAAAAATTGTTAACTAAAGTAGAAATAAAAAAAAAAGATGAAGGTCTCGTTCTTCGGAAGGTCAGATAAAATTGATTAATCAATGTTGTTTTAGACCTATCTTTGACTTCGTCGTATCTTCTTTCTGAGATATTTAAAATAAGATATTACGGTCGAAATGTGTTTTTTTTTCTTCTGATATTTAACACGATTTTTGACTTCCGACATGGCTTCGGCCTATTTTCTTCTATGATATTGTTAGGTTTTAAAAAAAAGAGAGTAATTGTTATTGGTGGATGTAGGATCCGAAAGTGCATTTGCAGGTAATAAAATAATATTTTTTTTTAATAATAAATGTTTACTACTCAAAAAACAGGGAATCATAAGAACTCAGGGTTAATGTCCAACGGCAAGCTCTCAACATAGGTACAATTTTATATGGCCCTAGTCAACCGTTCACTATAGCTGGGTCTTGGTCATCCACTATACTGGTGGTGCTCCGGCGAGATGTACGGCCGAACTGGCCCAGTTGTGCGAGTGTCAGAGTCAGCAGATGGGCCCGAAGCTAGAGTTTCAGCACCCAGATGTTAGGTAGTATCGATGGTCATCGTGAAGCTTCCCATCTGTCGGAAGGAACCCAATACGGGAATATCACTTCAAATACATTTAATATTATACTTTTCAAAAATTAAATTATTAATAAGTAGTTAATATTACGTAGCGACGAGAAAATTCGCAATATTAAACGACTACATTTTGACGTCACGCTGCTTCCGATTGAAATATGTCATAAGGAATACTTCTACGGGTTTTGAGCCTTTCTAAAAACTGAATTGCACCTGTGACGCTTAGAACAATAGCTTCAAGTTCGACTAGTTATCAAGCCCGTCGCCATTTACCCATATAAAAACGGACAACAAATTTTATAATAAGGGTTTTAAAAATAATTTAATACCTTAAAAAAATTATGAATTACAATACTGAGAAAAAAATATACAATTGACTTGGCTGTATGGCCTAAGATCTTGTCGCTTTCTCTATAAAGAAAAAATCTACCAAAAACAATTAATGGTGTTCATAAGATGCAAGGTTATATCGATTATCCCTGCGATATATATCGTTTATCGACATATTGCTTCACAAAGCAGACATATGAAAATCAGTCATGGATAATAGACATTACTTTTTGCATTTCATTATGCCTATATTAGGGATCTAAATTTCGGTCGTACACATATCGATATGTATATCGGTTAATCGATGTATCGTGCATCCCTAAGTGTCCGCCATTATTTGCCATGCAAAATAGGTACATACTCAAAGTCAACATAGTGGTTTGTGTGTTTGTGGCAAAGGTTTAATAAATTTTCATTTCGATATGAATGAAGTCAAGTAGTTTCGCCATTGTTTAGCGGCACAGCTGTGTTGTGGGTTGTTTAGCGCGAAGAGGGGTAGTATCCCTCGGTAAAAAAAAATAATGCAGGACCAACAAAAGAAAGTTCATTACTGCCCACACGAAGGCTGTAATGCTACATTTAGCAGACCTTACAGAGTTACAGATCATTTGTATGCTGCTCACACCAATGTGGTAAGTTTTGGTGATAATCTGCAACTGCTGCTCTGATAGAAAATTTATTAAGGTGCCCCACTTTTCCTTATTCATTAAAAACTTTCAAAAATTGCTCAATGAAGGGAATATTTCATTATATGCATTTAACTGTCTCATGGGACTATGAGAAAGATAATGCCCTTAATTGTAACCATAATCAAAAATATTTTTAGTAATGCACATTTATAGTTGTTTATGCATACACAGTCTACGAGTTTTCACCATGTAGGAAAAATCTAAATAACATTTATATATTAAAGTATACTGCAATTAAATCAAAATATAATTAATAAAAATAGCTAGATATTTATCAACACAGTCTAGTAGACTAGGTAAATATTGTAAGATAAAGTATTGTTTATTACCAATTCTGAGATCCTCAAACATCTAGATGTAAACAATGTGCATGAAGAAATACAGGTTTTCACAGAAAAACACCATAAACAGCATGAGAAACGCTCAAATCTAAGGTATGGTCGCTTAATAACACTAACTGTTTTCAACCTCTGAAGTGTTAAAAATTAACTACCATATATTTTAATAACTGTCCCACACTGACAGATCTTTAAGGGTAGTATGATGAAATTTGAAGCTATATTATATGGTATGTTAGTGCTTTAGCGATCAAAAACAGAGGGCATTACTTAGCGACAGTACCTGCCTTACTTATGCAAACTCTTATTATAGATAAAAATGTGAAGTGTCTTGAGAGAAAAGACTTTTAAATGAAAGAAGGAGTAGATATCCTTCGAAAGAGGATACACTATACTTGACAAACAGCTTACACAATATCTGATTGACTGATTGCAGATGAACACACAGAAAAAAAAAGTATTTTACAAACATCTAATTTAATATGAGTTTTTTATTTTATTTCAGAGAGCTTATGCCTGTCAGGAAGCAGGCTGTTCGAAATCATATTCCAATAAAAGTCATCTCATTAGACACATTAATACTGTACATAAACATATTCAGAGTGATGTTTTATACAGGTATTTTTTTAATAATTTAATTAGTATAGAGACACCTTTAATTAGATCCGAAACAGAAGCTTAGCAGTGGTGTGACAACTGTATGGCTTCAGTCAAATCACTGAATAATAAATTCTTTTAATGTGTAAGTAATGTAAAGTTAATATTGTACAAACATTATAATGCCACTCATATAAATTTGGTTGAAGTTATCAGCAGTCATACTTTTTCGATTTATCATAGATATAGTATATACTCACAGATATTTATAGTAATTACTAAAAGTATTAAGACTGGGCCTAAAGACAAAAGAGAAAATGACACTTATTCAATGCACCCCCACCAATGACTTATATGTTCCTCCTATCTCCATATTGCCCTTCCTCTCCAAAGTCCTTGAAAAAGTAGTGCATCAACAGTTATATACATTCCTTTCTTTGAATAACCTGCTCAATCCATTTTAATCTGGTTTCTGTCCCAGTCATAGTACGACTACTGCATTTGTCAAGATGCAGATGATATACTTATGTAAGGGTATGGAAAATCAACAGTTCACTATATTATCACTATTGGATATTAGTAATGCATTCAATGCTGTGGATTTTGACATATTACTTTTAGGGGCGACAGCAGTGCATATGTATAGGAAAACGTTTCTCAGATTGGTGCGACATGGTCAGAGTATTGCAGGGTGGCGTTTTGTCTACTCTCCTATTCACTATCGTCATTAATTCATATTGATTTCTTATATTTTTCACACACTATCCATAAATGAAACAACCTTTGAACAGTTCCATCGCACTTGCATTTACTTTTATTGACATTTCAGATCCTTCACAGGTTCCGTGTTCAATTAAGACTAAGGTGTTGATTGTCCTTTTAATTGAGAGTAATAGCAACCTTCAAACCAATACTATTGGACACATTCACAATGCAAAACAAATATATTTTATAGCAACGTTTATATTTATTAAATTTATTTATTTCAAAAATACATTTGACTTATTAATGTACCCCTGGCTACCGTAATCTAACACCAGTTTCAAATTTGGGAGGCTTGTTTGAGAGGAACTGGCAAAACAAACTCGGACAAGGAAAGTGAATTGCTGTATTTAATATTTACAGAATACAGAATTTGGTTTTGGTATTCTTTTTAATCCACACACATCGCAATATTTTAGAGAACGCTTTGTTTTTCATTCTTCTAAATCGCTCTGAGATTTCAGGTCTTCCATAACCTTTCCTTAGTGACCCCTTCCCATACAACTGATTTCGTAGTCATTTTATATCAGAGCTTTTAAATTGTGGCATCTAAATGTCAGATGGGCACAATCACGGAAGTCCCTTGCTAAACAAGTCTAGGAACATTTCCTCAAGCTGGATTCATCTTCCTGAAATCGTATTTTATTTTGTTTTGTTTTTATATTAATGTATATTTACTTTTATAAATGTTCTTAATTCTTTAGAGCACTAGCCCGCAACCTCTACTCAATGGTAGAGATTGCTACCTTATACTAGCAATGAGACCGCCTTTTGCATCTATGTTTCTAATTATATGTATTTTTATTTTAATTTGTTACTGTGCAATTAATTTATATATATGTTCATTCGTTCATCCAGTTTTCCCACACACAACTTCCCTTGTGTAACTATAGCCTATGTACCAGCAAATGTTTTAACTACTATTCTTCAAATCAAATTCTCTATGAGTGATATATGAATATTTAATTAATAAAATAAATGTCACGTCTTATTTTTGTTAGAATAAATAAAAAAACTAAGATACTACGTTTTAATTTTAAAATTATTTTACAATCATGTAGCAAAAAATATGTGAATGGGTCGTGGGTAGGTACGGGGTTGGTAACGAGTGCACCGTATTCCGTAACTGAACTCCCCTGGTTCTCTACCCGGTCCAGTAAACGTTTATTCGTCGGTCCAGTGTTGTGCGCCGGCGTCCGGAAAAATGGGGATTACCGTGTCCACAAGCGCAGCAACATTAAGTGGGTATCCCCAACGAAACTCCTGAAAAAGCTAATTTATATCAAGGCCAATGAATCAAGTACTGCCACTAGTTTTATCCTAAGGACTAAGAAGTGGTGTGACTACTACCCGGAGTGATAAAAAAAGCATTATAATTTTACTTTGATGAAGTGGCAGTTATAATAAAAACAGAAACGGTTACAAAACTAACTGATGGCACGATTACTATTCTACTTTACTAGTTTTAGAGGTTTTATATCTTGCTGGGCTGATTATATGTCGTCCCAGATGTATTCTTCGTTTGTGGATCAGTGGTCCACATTCACACAGGAGATGTTTTGTTTGCAATATTTGGAAATGTCAGCGTCACTTAGTTTCATGTTAAATAGGCATCTGTTTAACTTGCAATGTCCAGATACGGTTCGTACAATTGTACTTTACTAGTACAAAATTTTCAAATACCTACATAGTACACATTTGAAAATATAAAATTACTATTAGTAATCTCAGTGTATTTATTATTTTTATATAATATTACAAAGTGAACTAACATACAATCTTTCACATTATTATAAGGAGATCTATTCTAACGGTTTAAACTGATGTTTGTGGAAGCATAATAGCTCTTATGCAAAACTTAGGGCGTTTGCACACTACACTGAATTTTCAGGTACGGCAGTCTGATTCTTTTCCGGTTCACAACATGAAAAACCCGGATGAGTAGCTTGTGCACTAGGCCGTTTTTTCCGGATCGGAGCAGCGCAGTTTGTAGTAACTTTTTGAAGCTACACGTCACTTACGCTAGGTGCGATGAGATTTTTGGAACGTTGGCAATATTTTGCTTTATTACTCTACGTGCGAAAATGTAGAAGACATAAAAAAAGTTCTTAACTCTCAAATTTTTATTAGTTACGGTTATTGGATATTTAGATTAAATAGGTGATGAGAATTATTTTGATGCAATAACAGGTTTTATGATCATGCGACAAACTTATACCCTTACTAATTTAGGAACAGCATTATTCACATACAATGGCTAAAAATATCTTTGACATACGAAAAAAACTCGTACCTGATGTTTAAATTTATTGTGCACTGTTTCTTCGAAGTTTTGTAAAAACAACAACAGGCGATCAATGGTTGACACCATTTTGTAAATAAAGCGAAATGAGTGCCGTGTAAGCGGATAAATAATAAGCTAAATGAACTTTACGGTGGCATTTATCCTCCTATTGTATCCTATTGTAAGTTTTAAATGTCATGATTTGACTTTAATCATAGTAAGATCAGTTAGCTGCATTATAAATAAACAGAGGTACTAGCTTTTGCCCGGAATATTAGTTTCTTTTTGAGTAGAATTATTTTTCTTTTAGAATACTTCTGTTATCAAAAATTTATTGATACTTATCAATTGCCTAAAATCAATTTTTTATAATTAGAAATTTCCATGCAAACTCATCCCCTATTTCCACCCATTTTTCGCGATAAAAAGAAGCGGGTTGATGATGGATTCAGTTATTTAGGCGTGGAAACGTAACAACAATTATTGGTCTTACCTTAAGTTATCGATACTTTTGATTTCATATTGTTTTAAGATCAATACTTTTAATACGATTCTAGAATTTAACAAAGTATCTATACTAGACCATATGATGATCAAATTAGAACTATATCAAATTTGCCAAGGCATATGCAGAGTTGGATTCGGCGGACTCCTTGCTGGATCCCGGATCCTCCTCCCCATACAGAGGGAAGGAAAAAAGGCATATGTTGAGATGTTTACCAACTATATTAAATCATCATATAAAATATCGAATTTTATACTCTACAATAAATATCGATTATCAATATATTCCGGATTGCGGACACAGCGGTGCACAAGCATAAACACGTTTTTCATTGTCGCCATCTCGGACCGGAAAAAACTGTTCGGAATAGAGAAACTTAAAAATCCGGACTGCACAGGCTACCATTACCTAAATATGGCCTGCCTGACATATCAAACCGGAAAAATTCGGACTGCCGGACCTTAAAATTTAGTGTAGTGCACAAACGCCCTTACCTAGTACGGGATAAACACACAATGCAATTTAAATTTATTGAATTGTAAATTGTTTAAGAAAGGCAACTTTGAGGTTAAGTTTTTTAAGTAGACGAGGAATCAACGTTAACGTTAAAATTCAAACCGAGTGTTCAATACTTATGTATCTTATCAAGTCAGGGTTCGGTCGTGCTTGTCGCAGGAGCGCGGATCAGCTGGCCGTTGCCAGTGTCGGTACTCACCCCGCTCACCTCAACCCGCACATTCCTAATCAAACCAGTAGTTACGTAAAGTAATTTTCAGTAATAACAAAACTTCCACTATATTCGTGTGTATGTGCAAAATAATAGCATATTATCTTTAGTTTATAAGTTATTAATATCAAAGATGATTTATAAATATAGTTTCTTTTATCTTGTTATAAATTTGAGTAGCTATTAGGATAATCACGAACGTTACAAATAGATGTATACGAGGGTCAAACTGAAAGTTCTTAGAAAATCAAAAACTGATTACATTAGCCAGTTATTAGTTTTATTATATCTTTTCAAAATATTGTCCATTCACGTCAATACACCGCTGCATGCGATGGAACCACTGGGAAAAGCACTTTGCCCACTCGTCCTTAGGGGTCTCTTCAATGGCATCGCGATACGCAGCCACCGCTTCTTCAGCATTCATAAACCGCTTTCCTTTAAGTTTTTCTTTAATTTTTGGAAATAAATAAAAATCACAAGGCGCGAGGTCGGGGCTATACGGCGGGTGACCCAGTAATTCAACGTTTGATGTCGCCAAATAGTCGATCGTTCGCTTGGCGGTGTGCGACGAGGCGTTGTCGTGGTGAAGGAGGATCCTACTGCGAGGTCGTTTCTCTCGAACTTTTTCCAAGACAAGTGGCAAACAATTGGTAGTGTACCATTCTGCAGAAACTGTTTTTTGATCCTCTAACACAATTGTTGCAAAATGACCTATCCTTCCAAAGAACGAGGCCACCATTTTTTTTCCCGCACTTCGATCTCTCTTCACTTTAGTTGGCAACTCCTCGAAAGGAAACACCCACTGAGCAGATTGTCTTTTGGTTTTAGGATCATAACAGTAAATCCAGCTTTCGTCACCTGTTAGTATGTCGAACACAGCATTTGAGTCACCTCCGTTAAATCTTTCAATCATTTTACGACACCAATCCACACGATAGAGTTTTTGAGCCTCAGTCAAATTATGAGGTATCCACCGGGCGCAAAGCTTCCTGACCGCTAAATGTTCGTGGAGGATTTTGTGCACTTGACTCATACCGATGCCTAAGCTTGTCCGAATCTGTTGATAGGTCACTCTTTTGTCAGTCTCTATCATACGCCGCACAACACAGATGCTATCTTCAGTCGTCGCCGTAGAAGGCCGTCCCTCACGTAAATCATCAGTGAGATTAGTGCGACCACGTTTAAACTCATTAAACCAGTTGTAAACAGTCGCACGAGATGGGGCTTCATCGTGAAAGGCCAATCGTAGTCTATCATAACTTTCTTGTTGACTTAAATGACATCGAAAGTCATAAAAAATCATTGCACGAAAATTTTCTCGTGTTAAATTCATGATGACGTGACACAGACAATTTTCAATTTGCCGCCAAATCGTAAAACAAATGACAAATGAATGAAATATATACTCAGTAATATTGGCAAAGAGTTATATTTTCAAATTTTAGAATTATTTTTTTATTATATTGTTTATAAGTGGCCAGTTCTAAGAACTTTCAGTTTGACCCTCGTATTAACAAACGTCAATAAACCGGTAGGCATTTTTAACCATCTCTGTACTGTTGGCTATTTAGTAAATGTGTCTTATGCCCAGTCTTAAAAACAAAACACACAGAACACACGGTTTCTTTATGTGGTTGATTGCTTGTTTTATATTCATATTTCATATATTAATGTTAACCATATTAATAATATTTCAGCTGCCCTTTATGCTTGAAAACATTTGTGAATCGACAAAATTTAAAAAGACATGTGAAGGTCCAACACACCCTCAAAAATTATTTTATTTGTGATATTTGCAAAATAAGCTTCAAAAAGAAAAACCAGCTGAGGGCGCATATGTACCAACACACTGGCATAAAATCATTTATGTGAGTCCTCTGCACTATATTATAAATTCACGTAAAATACAACGGTGGGTCAAAAGTTCCTATAAATAGGATAAAGAGGTCGGAAACATAACTAATATTTATAGATTTCCTTTATATATATTCTGATTTCTTTTGCTTCTCTTTAATAACAAACTTGAAAACGGTGAGAAACTATTTTTTTCTAAAGATTTACTGAAAAATTTTAGGTAAAAGAACTGACACTTTGCCACCATACTTTTGATCCAATCTAATGATAGCTTTTCTAGCAGTTTTATTGTACTCTATTTTTCAGTTGCGAGATATGTCCAAACAAAGGTTTTGTAACACTTTATGATAAGAAAAGGCATATGAGATGTCATAAAACATATAACTGTGTTGAATGCCAGTTGCAGTTTAATGTTTGGTCTGAATACCAAAAACATAGAAAAATTGTACATGAAGTTGCAGGTACCTACATATGTTTTAATTCATTTATTGTAATTTGAATATATTACCATCTTATGATGTAATATATTTAAATTGCGTTTACTTGAGTGATTTCACCATTTCAGAATACATTTGTAATGAATGTAGCAGGAGCTTTAAACAGAGAAGTCATATAGTACGTCATGTCAAAATACACAGTCAGATACTATTGAGTAAATTGTACAAATGTCCGTATGAAAACTGCCCAAGGTAAACAACTGAAATTTTGTTGATAGATTGTGTTGTATTTTTTTTTAGAAACAATCTAAATAAAGTTATTTCACATTCGGCGTGCGGTTTGGCTGGCTCTTAACTGGTACATTGTGACATTTTAGTGTCAGTCCCCCAACACAGTTACTGTCTAATAAAAAAACGACGAAAAGACCCAGGACCGCCAAATGTTGTGAAATGTTTATGCATATTTTATTTTACAGAATAATATGTTTTAGATTTCGTTTCCTTTCGCATCCTTCTATTTGGGACTGTTGTATTGGGGCAAAATAAGATAAAAATAATTACAACTAGTTTCCGGAGGCCTTATTAATTTAGTTACCAATCCCTGCTTTAAATTATCAACTTAATGATCAAACATTTTATTTTCAGACTTTATACCAGAAATAGTAATCTCAAGCAACATATTTTGATAAAACACGTGACTATGACACATGAATGTGTTATTTGTAAGGCTCACTTGTCATCTAAGGTAAAGTACAAATAAAAATTTGATAATGTTTTATTATCTACTTTTCCCGCATCTTCACACGCGCAAGTTATTCACCCATGCCTGTATGATGTAGCTTCCCGTGGGTAATAGACTTTTAAAAGGGCCTTTAGTTTCGGAGCCTTTCAATGCAAACAAACAAACAGAATTTTCCTCTTTATAAAGTGTACTGAAAAAGCATTGAAAAGACAGTAATACTGGAAAATAACTTGTCTTTTTTTTTTCCCTATAAAAATCTCAGTCATATAGGATTTCCCAAATGAGTAAAAACTTCTGTTTTTTCAGGCTTGTTTGAAAATACACTTGAAGAGACACGAAAACCCTTCGAAAGGACCAAAGATCGCAAAAACTAAAGCTACAGGTCGAAAGGAGAGGAAAGACAAAGGGATACCCAGATCAATAACAGCTCTAAAACTAGCTGGATGTGAAGTCATCATTGAAGAAGCAGATGAAGAATTTATCACCCCTGAATGAATAATATGAATGAACTGGGATGTTAATTCTACATCCCTGCCGCCTGATAGGGTAAAGATAACCTTTTTGTCTGTTAATCCTAGACGTCTCGTTTACACGATAGTAACAATAACAATGGTTAAAAATCCCATCGTTTTGTTTGTTAATACAAAGCGGAGAGAAGACAAACATGCCGTTTTATGTAAAAAGAAAAACTATTGGTGGATAAAGCGGGGCGCGGCCCGAGTTGTGTGAACCAAAGCGGATAAAATAGTCTGCCAGATGCTCCAGTCACATAGCAGATGATTCCACATCGCACAACTCTACCGATTTACGAATTCGTGAAATGCATTCATATCCTAATACTATATTATAATCGCTTTCTCGCTCAAAATAATGAATAAACTTATAATCCTAGTTTACTTTCAATTTGCTTACATTTTAATAGAATCAAGCATCAAGAAATCGACAGTATTACCAAATGGTTGCAAGACAAACATGTTTAGCTATCCTGCATATCATCAACTGAGGACTGCTAGTTTGCATATATATATATAAAGAAATTTACATAAGAGGTACTGAAGATTTAGGAAATATAATAAAGAAAAATACCATTCGGGGCAAGTCCCCATGAAATCATGACATCGCAATAACTAGGCATAGTGTGATTATCATAGACACACTGCTGTTGTATTAGTAGGTATACTCTTACGACTTTATCGAGAATAAAATATTCTCTCAGAATAGCTTGTAGTATAGAACTATTGCCCCTTTAGACCGAAAGCTCGTTACGGTTTTAACTGTTGATATTTTAGTATGTGGAGTACGTAGTCCATTGATTGACTAATGCCCAGGGGCCTGCACAGAGATATGCGGTACACTAAGCAGCATGTACCTACATTGAAAAGTATGGCGAATAAGTTATAAGAAGTGCTCCACCGTATCAGTCGGTTAAAAATATACCGCTAACTAGAACTTTATAATAGTTCTGTCTATTTTGATAGACGGCACTTTTGCTAGTTTAACCAAATCATGATTATGAATCTCTGTGAATACTCGCATCAAGCTAATATATGATTATTTAGGTAAGATAAAGTTGTGATTTATGGGTAAGGTATGCAGTGCTTTATTTGCATGTATAGTGTGCACGCCACTACTTGTGGCGGTAACCGGTAAGAATCTAGCCATTGCTGAATGTATTTCAAAACAATAGTTCGAGTATATTTTTTTCTTACTGAACTTATAATAATTATGAGATTAATTAAATTTTAATACCTATTACGAAACTATTTTTCGGAGCTAATTTTAACACCAACTTCTGAGACTGCTATTTAGTCTATATAAATGAATGAAATAACTTTTGAACGATTTCATCGCGTTTGTATTTAGTGTTATTAACGTTTCGGATTATGCGATCTGAGAAGTTTGTTCTGCCTACTTTTTTATATGCATTACGAACAAGTTTCACGTTCGTTTGTAACTATTACGAAAAATTTTCCTTTACATCTTATGTACTTCACATTGCGCCGCAACCAAGTCTTCTAGTACCTTGGTACTGAGTAATGTCATTCTCTATACTTCCACATACTGAAATATCGACCGTTTGAAATCTCATACATACTTTTATGTTGAGCTCTTGTATCTTATTTAATGTATTGCTAAGTCCAAAGGAAACACTATTGTGAGTTGCTGATTGGACATACCCATTTGTAACTCATCATTCACATTAATTATTTAAATATTGGAATTATTTGATCCAATAATGCTATATATGTATACGCCGGACTTAAAAATTTAAAAATTTACGTTTTCAAATAAATACTTTTTATTTGATATGAGGGCAATAGATGAAAATTGATATAGTAAGTTTTACATCAGTAATACGTTCGAAATTTGCTACTTCTGCAGGCAACTTAACAACAAAATTTAAGGGGTTGACTTACGAGCGTTTGGTCATTTAGGTACTTCTTACATCATATGATTTGTTTACACCACACTTGAGAGTGAAAAAAATAATTATAGTTTAATTTATGTATATAAAAATAGCATTGGCTATTCCATGCTAACTTTCCATTTTCAAATTATAGTAACTTAATTTATTGTTATATAAGATAATTGTGAATTATAAATACCTATTAAATACATACATAGTGTTTATGCCTAAATTAATAAATTTATTGTCATATTTTTGGCCTTTCAATTAAGATTTTTACCATAGATTCAAATTTATTTAAATCATAATAGTCTGCCAGCTAAGATTTTCCCGACCAATTTCCTCTTGCGGAGAAATACTTCGATTCTTCGACAACCGTTTAACACTGACTTGAAGCTAATTGTCGAAATAGCACAAAAAAAATATTTACATCGTTATAAACATAGATATTCTGTATTTGAGTCTTAAAATCGCACGATTATCTTAAAAATTAAGTCATGATTTTTTTTGTCTGTGTGTCACGTTAATGTGACTTGATCATACGTTCCGCCATTGTGTGACGTCTCTGTGGCTACAACTCAGATTAGTCATAAAGATACCTATAGCTATTAATTATAAATTAAATTCTTAGATGGCGCTGTTCTTAGCTTATAAATATGTTTTTATTTCGTAATCGATTGTTAGATGGCGTTATTCTTGTTTTATTGACATCATTAAGTCTTCTACTCTATACATCTGTTTTGTGTACATATCACAATGACGCCATGTATATGACGGTCACCATTTTTGCGGATGTAAAAATGTTAAAATTTTGATTATAAATTAAAAGGCATGAAAACATGTTTATTTTTCCGAAATATTTGTTTTATGTCTTTTTAAATCAAAATAAATAAGTGTTATAGCAAACGCAGTAAAATACCCAATTCAATAAAAACCGAAGTTTTAACTAGATTTTGCCAGAATCCTAGATTAATCCTAAAATAAGAGTATTATTTATCATTAAAAGCATTATATTTTTTTATTTATTATCGGGTTTCCTTATTTTTACCCCAAATTAATATCTCGCTCGATCCCTAAGTCAAGTACGAGGGTGGATTGAAAAGTTCGCGGCCTCAGCAAGAAAACAATATAAAATATAAGCAAAACTAATTTTATTTTTCCACGTAATCTCCACTTAACTCTAGGCACTTCTTCCATCTGGTTTCCAACGCCTGTATGCCGGTCATAAAAAAAGTTTCTTTAAGGTCTTCAAAAAAGTCACCCACCGCAGCTTCGACCTCCTCATTTGATGAAAATTTTTGATCTCCAAGGTGTTTTTTTAGGTTTGGGAATAAATAAAAGTCTGAAGGTGCCAAATCACGGGAATAGGCGGGATGGGGCAGTAATTAAAAGCTACAATCACGAATTTGAGCCATAGATTCAACAGACGTGTGAACGCGTGCATTATCCTGATGGAACAACACTTTCTAGCTGAGTAATCCTGGCCTTTTCTCTTTGATTGTTTCGCGCAAGCGACGTAAGAAGTTGCAGTAATAAGCAGAGTTTATAGTTTCATCTTTTGCAAGGTAGTCCACCATGATGACAACCCCAAAAAACTGACGTCATCACCTTGTCAGCTAACAAAATTGCTTGTTTTTTTTTGGAGTCGGTTTATCACGTTTTTTCCACTCCGCTTTCCGCTTGGATTGCTGTTTTGACTTTGGGGTGTAGTGGTGTACCCAAGTTTCATCCATTGTTACAAATCTGAATAAAAAATCTTGTGGATCAGCCTCAAACAGTCGCGAGAAATTGTGAGACGTATTCGTTTTTGTTCGATTGAAAGCAATCTGGGTACCCACCACGCAGAATCCTTAGAAAATCCATGTTCATTGACTATAATGTTTTTTGTTCGTTCATACGAGATGCCAATAGTGTCTGCAATCTCCATGATGGTCAATTTCCGATCTGTCAATATCAGATCACAGATTTTCCCGATGTTTTCTTCAGTCGTAGATGCCATAGGCCGGCCAGAGCGAAGGTCATCTTCAATACTCTCTCGTCCGCGTTTAAATTCAGCAAACCACTTTTTCACAGTCGTATACGACGGAGCAGATACCCCCAATGTTGTTGACATATCTTCGTGAATCTCTTTTAGACTTAGTTTTTTTTTTAAACAGGTATTTGATGACAGCACGTTGCTCAATTTTCTCCATTCTTTAAAAATGCTGCACAAAGGCTCACAGAATTCAGTCTAATTTAAATACAGTTAATGCTTTTTTTTTCTTCTATTTTAATGGCTATTTTGTGTTAACCACAATCCTGCCAATTTACAGTTATTGCTATTGCGATAGAATTTTACAATTTCACAACCAGATAGTAAACTAATCGAATGAGGTTACAGTTACATTAAAATAGTTTAAGTATTTATGTGTTAGGCCACGAACTTTTCAACCCACCCTCCGATCTTAGATTTAAAAGTTAAGTATGAGTATGGTCAATAACAAATTAGCTTTTAATAGCAAGTTGCGTATTTTTCTACTGGAATAAGAAGGTTCTTATAATCGTTAGTCGTAGTTATATGTACAAGAAATGCATTGTTTAAAATAATTTATACAGTCTAGGCACTTGTGAAAGTGGAAAATCTATGTCATCGGTTCGTAAATCAACGACGAGAGAAATTGTACCGAGGAGAGCCGGCAAGAGCTGCTTGTTTCCCTCTGTTTTATTTCATACAGAGATGTCAATATTGAAAAAGGACTGCATTAAAATATGAAGTCACTTTCAATCACAATATTAGGTATTACTTAACAAAAAATATAATTTATATAATATTATAATTTACTCGTCAATCGATTCACATGCTGTGTCAAATAAGCTCCCATATATTAACTAATTTAATATATAAGGTACATATACATAATAAAAGAAAATAAATAAGTGTCTATGGCAGCCTCGTCTCCACTAGCAGTTCACGAACATCATACCAACTTATATGTTCGACGGCGATGTATGTTTATTTTATGTATGTTCACTGATAACCTTTTTTATTCATCAGTTTTCCTTTTAGAACCAATTTATAAAAAAACAAAAAACGATTTTCACCATACATCACATAAATATTTATATTTATTGTATTTCAGCTGAAAACAAAAGATTGCGTATTTTGTATTCATTCAAAATCCAAAAGGATGGTATTCTATGTTCAAAAAGTATGTATATTTTTATGAAAGTATGTCAATAGATTTCTTCTTGAATTGTAATGTCCCCGCGACGTCGTCTGCATAAATTAT